ATGGGGTTACATACTACATTGAATACGAAGGACTTTTCCACATTTGTACGGAATGCGGGAAGTATGGCCATGTGCAAACATCATGCCCAACGTTGGCCAAAAATCCCGCATCTCCCCAGCCTGAATCGAATTGCCCGAAGGAAAATAGTGCTCCACAAAACCTCTATGGGGAGTGGATAACGGTTCAGCCCCTTGACAGGAATGGGAAGAGAGGAAATGGTGTTTCGACTGGTCCTATGGATGGTGAGTCTAGTGGGAGCACGCCGAGGCAGATGGATAACTCTCCATCAGGATCACGCTTTGAGGTTTTTGAAGAAAATTTTATTCACGACATATCCCAAACATCATACAAACCCTACCAACCAAGGGATACGTACAAATGAGGATAGCAGGATGAATGCACATCAGACGGTTATTGAGACTCCTAGCAAAGAGACTATTGTGGATTCCTACACCGAGAACATGGATTACTCTATGGAAAAAAACAACCGAGGGTAATGGACCCCAGAACAAGACAGCTACAAAAACAATAATGTCACGTCGAGAAACACATAGTGAAGGGAGACCCTCTTTCGACAGGGCACATGAAGAACCTAAGGGTAATTTAGACCCTGCCGAGGTCACTGCCAAATCACATAATGGCAAAGGGGTTGCGAAGCAACATGAAGCTGTTAATGGGAGTTCTGGAAACTCGAGGAAACAGGAGAAGGCTCCGGCTATAAAAGAGAAACAACAGAACAGTAGTGGAAAGACGAGAGATGGAAAAAATGGTGTGGGGAACCGATCCCCTTCCGGGAATAGATGAGAATTTTAAGTTATAACTGCCGCAGATTGGGGAATAAGATGCAGTTAATTCGTTGCGGGCACTTTTGCGCCGCACTTCCCCCCAGGTTGTTTTTCTCATGGAAACAAAACAACGGTGAATGAGAATGAAGAGCTACGGGAGTCTTGTGGATTTAAAAAGGGCGAGTATTGCCCAACAAATATTTCGCAGCGGAGTAGAGCTAGAGGTGTTAGTATTTGGTGGGCAGAGGAGCTATCCATAACTAAGATGGACATGTCCCTCAATTTTGTGGATATAGCGATTACAGAAGAGAAGGAAGGCAGATGGCATTTTACTGGTGTGTACGGGTGGCCTAATGGTAGCGACAAGTGGCGTACCTGGGAGCTTCTATCTTCATTAATTCAACAATGGGATGGTCCATGGCTTTGCGGGGGTGACTTTAACCAGGTACGAACCGTAGAGGAGAAGAGCGGAGGGCGCATTGCCCACGAGGCGGACATGGAAAACTTTGAAAGCTGCTTATGGGTGACAGGTTTACAAGACCTGGGTTTCCATGGTTACCCATTTACATGGGAAAATAGACGGGTCAGAGGTGGCTATATTGAAGAGAGGCTTGATTGGTTTATAGCCAATGATAACTGGCAACACCTCTTCCCCAACTTCCACGTTCGACATTGGGACAGGGCGCAATCGGATCACAGGCCAATCCTTTGTGACATGCGAGGTAATGAAGACGAGGAGGTTCAATGGGGCAAATCGTTTTGGTTTGAACCTTATTGGACGAAACACGAAGACTGTGAGAAGGTCATTGGCAATGCGTGGCAGCAGGCGACCCAGTCAAACATTCTACAAAAATTTGACCTTTGCCGCAAAATTTTGGAGGAGTGGAGTCGATCTGCTTTCCTGCGTTTCGCCAAACAAAAAGAGAAAATAACCAGAGCCTTCTGGATTCTTGAGAGGATGCCGAAGTCAGAATCAAAAGTTACAACAATGCAGGCATCTTGAGGATGAAATGACCGAGTCATTGGATAACGAGGAACAGCATTGGAAGCAACGCTCAAGGGTGGATTGGATTAAAGGGGGAGACAAGAATACAAATTTTTTCCATCGTAAAGCATCTGCCCGGCGAAAAAGTAATACCATCAAACGAATTAGAGATGAAGTAGGCAGTTGGCACGTGGGTCAACAAGAGGTCTCGGCATGCATGATCGAGTATTATATGACTCTCTTTACAGTTGGTGACGTTCCTGGAGAGTGGCCGTTCCTAGACGCTATGTCGAACAGACTGGCCCCTGAGGATAACGCGAGCCTCCTTTAACCTTTTAGCAAGGACGAAGTGTACACGACTCTGAAACAGAAGGGACAACGGAAAGCCCCGAGAGCTGATGGATTATTTGTTCTCTTTTTTGGCAGGTACTGGCATCTGGTTGGGGATGACGTTACCGCTACTGTTTTGCAGATCTTGGAGTCCGGAGAGATGCCGGAAGACCTCAACCACACCCTCATTGTCCTCATTCCAAAGACAAAGCAGCCAAATTTGCCGAAGGAGTTCAGACCGATTAGCCTCTGTAACGTCCTATACAAGATCATGTCCAAGGTGCTGGCGAACCGTCTCAAACCACTCCTTGACAAGATCATTTCCCGAGAGCAAAGTGCCTTCGTGCCTGGGCGCTTGATAACTGACAATTTTATGGCGGCCTTCGAATGTTTCCACATTATGAAGAAAAGTAAGGGAAGAAAACACGACTTCTTTGCTGCAAAAATCGACATGGCAAAGGCTTATGATAAGGTTGAATGGCGTTTTCTGGAGGGCGTAATGCGGAGAATGGGGTTTCAGGAGCAGTGGATCAAACTGGTCATGATGAGCATGAAGACTATCTCGCATTCCATGCTCGTGAATGGAAACCGTTCTGAACTGTTCACTCCAAGTAGAGGATTACGACAGGTTGATCCCATATCACCTTACCTCTTTATGCTTTGTGCGGAAGGGTTGTCGGCCTATACAACCAAAGCTCTAAACGAGGGTCGGTTGCATGCGCTAGAGGTGGTAAGGGGGGCCCTGGTGATTACCCATCTCTTTTTTGCTGACGACAGTATCTTTTTTGACAGGGCTACAGAGCATGAGAGTTTGGAGCTTAAACGAATTTTGGAGGCGTATGCCTGAGAATCCGACCATCTTGTCAATTACCAAAAGTTAGAAGTATCCTTTGGCGCAAGAGAAGAATTACTACTTGAAAAAGAGAACGGAGGGATGGGATTTAGAGAGATGAAGGGATTCAATATGGCAATGTTGGTATAATAGTTATGGTCAATCCATTAGCGCCCTGAGTCACTTGTAGCAAAACTGCTAAAAGGCAAGTATCACCGTCGCAGTACGATCTTGGATGCAAGTGTCAGGCACCAACCGAGTTATGTATGGTGAAGTCTTATGGGAGTGCAAGAATTCCTGCGACAAGGCCTTCGATGGAGGATCGGTAATGGTGAGCAAGTGAGGATTTGGGGAGATAGCTGGCTACTGGAGGGCGAACACCTGTTTATCACGCCGGCTCCTCAAGAAATCCCAGTGGATGCTCTAGTTCGTGAACTCATTGATCCGGAAACAAACCAATGGGACCATGAGTTGCTGGTGCGATGCTTCCCACAGCCAACGGTTCAGACAATCCTCACCATCCCGCTTCGTGGGCAGGAAGAAGCTGACCGCATTATTTGGCATCATAGTGATAATGGCGAGTATTCCATGAAGAGTGGCTATCGGCAATGGCTGAATGCTTTCAAGATGAAATGCGGGTTATCTGCCTCAGGAGATGGAGAAGTTTGGAAAAGTTGTGGGCACGAAACACTCCCCCGAAGATCCGTCATTTCCTTTGGCGATTTGCCTTCTGCCAACGGGTCAGAAGGTTAGTGCACACAATGAGCAGTGGAGTGATGCGTGCCCCTACTTCGACCAACCAGAGTCACAAAGACATCGATTCTATGACTGTAGCTGGAGTAGTCGGATTTGGAGAGCCTCCCCTTTCGTCAAAACTTTTGAAGTGTCGAGGGTGGTGGATTGCTTTGAATGGGTGTCGAAGGTGATGAGGACTTTCTCTAAGGAAGAAGTAGAGGGATGTGCCACCCTATTGTGGGCATTTTAGAAGGAAAGAAAGCACAGCTCTTCAACGAAGACAAGTGGCCTGAACAGGAAATTGTGGCGCGCTCCCAAGCATTGCTTTCTGAATATCAACGGTGCCATCTGAATGATGAGTTTGGGGCGGCTAAAGCCCAATCGCTATCTTGGACAAGACCTCCTGAAGGCTGGACGAAGATCAATACAGATGTGGGGTTGAGGCAGGGTGGAGGAGCAGGGCTGGGGGTCGTGATCCGTGACCACCGGGGACTCTTCATTGCTGCAGCAGCGAAGAGAGTCTCAGGGAACCATAGCTTTGAGCAGGCGGAAGCTTTGGCCGCTGAATTTGGACTGCAACTCGCCCACCAGCTGGGTATTTCCCGAGTCGTATTTGAAATGGATTGTCTTGTCGTTGTTGAGCTACTGAAGTCGTCAATGGGCCTCATGAACGAAGTGGGGGTTCTCTGTCGTAGCATACTGCAGCTTTTGAGGCAGGCTGGTTCCCATACAGGTATGGTGCTACATACCAGGCGTGAAGCGAACAAAGCGACACACACCATGTCCAGAAGTGATACTCACTGGGATTGTCGATAAGTTTGGCTAGATAGGCCTCCGATCTTTTTACTTGACCAGCTTTTGCTGGACCATGTACCTGCAGTTCCCTCATAATTTAATATAAGCAGGTTTCCCAGGAAAAAAAAATCTTCCATAACTATCTAGATTACATCCCCATGCGTTTCATAGACAGCGTAAAGAGGTAATGGGAGTGAGGACAATCCTATCTTAGCCGTCTTATTGACTTAAATGCTTTCTGTGCACCAGCATTCTTCAAGATTTGGAACATCGTGGAGGTGGCATTATCAATGTTCCTGCCGCTTACGGGATTAGCAAGCTATCTCGTGTTGTTATGGTTTATGTTTGAATGTGTAATTTGAAAACCAGGAGTAAAAAACATCATTTATTTTTTTATTTTTTGTTAACTTGGAATTCCAATTAATAATTTATGCCTTCTCTTCAAATTAGGAAGGTAAATTAGACAAATTAAATGAAATTTTCAGCCTATTCACTTAATACCATATATACAATTAGAAAATTATTAATTAATAAAATATTAGGCAAACCATGGTCAAGTCAGAACCATAAAATAAAGGTAAAAGAATTAATAACCTTCCATCACTAAAACTATGTTAATAATTATACCATGTTTGCGTCCATTTGGCCCTTCAAGAAGAGTCAATAAATAGAGACCATGAGCACCGTGAAATAGACACAGTAATAGGCAAATCAGCACTTCTCTTCAGTCCTTGGCCGACGATTCTCATCTCAAAAGATAGACGCCCAAAATGGTGAGCAAGCATATCACTCCCTAAATTTTTTTTAGGTGGTGTTACCATTGTTAATACTAGTCGCATCGATCGATGTTCTTCTATTTACGACACTATATTGCTACCAGTCGATTATGTAAATTACTTTTTTTTTTTTTTTTGCAGAATCTCAGGATTAATTTTCTCTTGGTGGGAGCGGTGTTTGCAGTTTTGTTTAGTGTAATGAACTGCAGTGAGCTAAGTCTTCCCACAGACCAAACTGGTGATGGAATCAAACTCTTCAATGTCATGGCTTTTGGTGCCACGGGAACTGGAACCACAGATGACTCTAACGTAGAACATTATTTCCTCAATTTCTCTATCATGTTTTCGGTTGGTCACAAAAAAAAACATATGAAATTTACAACAGATTTCTTTGGTTGCTTGATGAAAATTTTCCAGGCATTTATAAATGCATGGAAAGCAGCTTGTGGAGCAGTCAGCAGTAGTCCTGTTATCCTTATTCCTCAAGGAAAGACATTCTTGTTGAAACCAATATGGTTCCAAGGCCCTTGCAAATCGCCTATCCAAGTTCAGGTCATTTCTCAAATCATCGTTCAATCCAAAATTAATCCGACTAAGATGCTCGCAATCCTTTTGTGTCTGTATCATACGTCCGACATAAAAGTCTTTTATGGTTGTAGGTGAAGGGAAAATTATTGGCACTTCCCAACCTAGGAAGTTGGAAAGGGCTGGATATCCACGAGTGGCTAGCATTTTCACAAGTACAAGGATTGATTATAGATGGACAGGGCCAGGGCCAAATCGACGGCCAAGGATATAATTGGTGGAAGGCTTGCTCTAATGTAACGCCACCAATATATATCTATGCACTTATCTTATCGTATTAGTTATGTCAATCACGATGACAAATCACTAATTACAATTTAATTTTTTTTTAATTTTTCTTGTTTTGTAGTCCAATGATTGCACCAGGCCAACTGTAAGTAATTAATATGCCCCTTTGAAAATTTATTAGGAGTAAAAATTTAGCCTTTTATGAAATGATATGGTTGGAAAATTGATAATTATGTTCTTATCCTTATTTCATTTGATTCTGAATGTAATAGGCACTTAGAATTTCGAACTGCGTTAATGTTCGATTAAGTGGGTTGAAGCACTTCAACAGTCAGAGAAATCACATATCGATCGACGGATGTAACAATGTGATTGTTTCCGGGCTCCATATTTCCGCTCCTGAACAAAGTCCCAACACGGACGGTATTGACATCGCAGGCTCGACAAATATTCATGTTATGAACAGTGTCATTCAAACTGGTAAGGACAATGAAAACCAAAGGTTTGCGCGGCTTGGTATTTGTTTTGGATTATTGTTATGAAATGGAATTAGGTGGTCTAATTATTTTTTAATGTTCTATTGTGCTTATGAATTACTACGAGTTCTATGTTGGATTGCCAATAAGTTTTTCTTTTCTCGAATTGAAACTAAAGTTTGGTTGTGTAATTTATTTATAATGGTGATGTAATGTTTTTTGCATGTAGGTGACGATTGTATTGCAATCAACACACAATGCTCCAATATTAATATTACTGGAGTGACTTGTGGACCTGGTCATGGCATAAGGTTTGACATACATACCAAATTGTTCAAAAAATAAAGTTCTATACATACATATAATTTTTACTATGTCCTTATACCGTTGGATTGCTCGTCGTGTGATCCACAACCATTGGATTAACACAATTTTTTTCCATTGTAATTAGTGTTGGAAGCTTGGGGATGAATGGAGAAGTCGCTAAAGTGGAGGGAATCTATGTACAAAATTGTACCTTTACTGGATCAACAAATGGAGCTCGTATTAAGACTTGGCAGGTACTGCGTAATTTATAAAAAAAAAACATCTAATTACCATTTTAAACAATAGTAATGAAAGAATTAAGCATGCATATATAGGACCATTAACTTGTGCTAATGGTTTTGTTTATTCTTTGTACTTCATTAGGGAGGAGCTGGATATGCAAGACACATAATTTTCGACGACATCACATTGATCAACACGGATAACCCTATTATTATTGACCAATATTATTCTCCTAACGGTGTAAACCAGGCAAGCAATAACTTGAACTTTGCAGAGTCATTTCGATACACTCTTTTAGCTACACCGTTTATTAATTAACTTCCATTTTGAATCTCAGACATCGGCAGTACAGATATCAGATGTTTCATATTCGAGGATACGTGGCACATCAGCTACTCCTACTGCTATAAGGTTGATGTGCTCTCAGACACAGGGTTGTACTGATATCATATTAATGCACATCAAGATAACATCGGCTCATTCATCGACACCGACATCCTCGAAATGTATCAATGCTCATGGAAAGTACACAGACTCCATCCCTAAAGTGGACTGCTTGTTGCCCTAGTCAAGAAGATTTGAAGATGGAGAAGAATATGTGAAGGAAGCCAAAATCTGTTGGCACCTCTTTTCCCCCTTCTTTTAGTTTCTTTGTCAAGGAATAATTTGCAGTCTCTGAATTGAACTCGAGACGTTGTTGCAATCAATATATCTAAAACAACATACTTGTGTATGAAATAAAGAAAATGAATTGATACATCATTCATGACTTACTGTTTGATTACTAATCTCAAGATGTTGGCATGGTAGAAATGTGGAAATCAATAACATCTACTTATAATTTAGGGGATTCATCTAAATATCATTCAAAAAGATTTTTCAATCATCAAATTTGTTACGGGAAATATTAAAGAGAAGATAAAAATAAAGTCTCTTAAAAATTCAAATATATACTTAGAGGGTTTGAGATTTTAACTTTTACCAAAAAGTCTCGTAAGAATTATTATGTACAAAAATTACTCTTTCAGCAAATGAAAAATACAAACACAGGGTTAATAGCATTTTATACCCTTCTAGTAGTACAAGTTAACAAACATACTCGTTTACTATTCTTTTACAAAAAGTACCCATTTTTCATCAAAATGTAACAAACGCATTCTTCCATGCTACATTCTAACGGTTAAAAGGGACGAAGAATTACCGAAGTGCCAATCACGTATTCAATAATTACTTTCTACTTTTCAGCAGAAATAAGAAAACGAAAAAAAAAATGAAAGGCCAGGACCTTTTTAAAATTAAGTACAAAGAAACTAAATTAATTATAGTGTCTTAATTCTAAAATGAAGAAAGAAATTTATGTAATAGGTGAAGGGCATTTTGATCATCTCCAGTTTACTTTAATGGTCAACTAACTTAATTTTGAACGAAAGAATACATTTGCTAAGTTTTCAATAGCATATGGGATACATTTGTAAAATATATATTAAAGGAGTATGTTTGTTAATTTACAATAGCAGAGATATGTTTTGTCCGTCTTGCTCCATTTCTCCATTATTAGCAAGCTGAACGTCAATGGTTTGATTACACTCCTGGTGGGTTTCTTCATTTGTTGTTGTTCTGAGAACGAAATGGTGAAAGACCTTCGAGAAACAATGCATAGCATGAGTGTAAACAAAGATTGTAGGTAAACATGTGTTTATGGACAATGAAGAAGCTCAAACAAACATTGCAAGCCTAAAACGCGAATGCTCAGAATTGTCACAACCTAAATCATGTCATAAACTAACTAGTAACAATAACTCGAATTGTTGCGAGAGACTCATGTATAGTACTTAGTCACTTCCTTACACACCCACTCAAATGAAAGCCGACTCATGGACTTGAAGTTTGCACAGACCCACAATACCATATACTTGAAGACAACGATTAATGCTGAGAATCGTGAGGACTTAAACACATAACTCATGGACAAAACAGCTCTATATTGATACCATATCATAAACCAACTGATCTCAATAACTCGAATTGTTAGAAAAGATTGATGTATAATACTTAACCACTTCCTTACAAACCATATATATTTCAAACAAGTTGGCCAATAGTGATTCCTTCGCATGAGATAGACATCCCTCCCACGATAAAAAGCTGTAAAAATCACAAAAGATACAAGTTGTTCTTGTTTCTCACCCAACCCGCCTAAATCTAATTAATAACTGAGCTCAAGAATCAAAATTTAGTCTTCTCCAGAGAACTATTCATCGGTAGTAGCCAGCCGGCACATTACTTCCACGAAGTAGTAGAAAGCCCTGGCGATTCGAGGGAAAAACTTAGTTTAAAGAACTGTCAAGCAACCGCGGCCTAAACATCAAGAGATAAGAAATACGATAATAATGAGATTTAAGGACAGAGATAAGCACCTTAGTCCTCCTCCATAGGAACTTCCGGTATATCAAACCTGTCTTCCTCGATTGTCTTGTTGATTACAGAAACAGATGGTAATGTTAAGTCAAGGAATTCACAGAATGAAATAAGACTTTACACGCCAGCTGTAATGAAGAAGAGAGGTCAACAGTTAACAAGTAGCGAAACTTTCAAACTAGTTCACAGTCAAAGGATATTTATTGCCATAAGATCATCCTCCTTTTCACCACGATTCCTGCTGTTGTCTAGTTCTCTAACAATTTCAGGAGTCACCTGAACACCAAGATTGTAAACTCGAGAATCAGAAGAAAGCAATCCAATCATATTCCCACATGGTTTGCAGGTCAGGGGGAAACCGAAGGAATTTTTTTAATGAGGTAGGCTACGATGACATTACCAGATAGTGCCTCTGTCTTCCGACTAAGGTTCTAAGGTTCACTTTATCTTCCTTTTGGAGTTCATTCTTGTACCTGCCACAGGTATCCAATAGAATTTAGTAGGGAAAACAACTACAAACGTTTCTCCTTCTTTCTTAATTGAAAATCTATGAGCATGTCCTACAGCATGGCAAAAGAAGGAAATTCTCCATACCTTTGAACAAATGCCAGTAGTGATTGGTGCCAAATTACAGGCATGATCCTTGAATCCTCCATAAATCTCATGTAATGAGCAACAAGTGCATCAATAACACGATATGGCAGCGCGTATTTCTTTTCCAAAAGAAGCTTGATGAAATAACTGCGAAATTGTCATACCCAAAATTGTACCTTGAGCTTCTAAAGGAGAAAGTTGTGCCAGAGTAGTAACCATCAAAGCACATATAAAGAGTATAAATTCCATCAAACTTCTAACAGATGCATGTGCATTGTCCATGGATATGAAATGCTAAATAGATTGACCTTCAAAATCACTAGTCATTTCCCACTTAAACCCTTTCAACTAAAGGCATAATATTTGACGCTCTCAAATACCTTGTTGTGCCGCAGTACTCCATTTCTGCAAGCTTCAGCAAGGCAACACTGCAATTCAATTTCCGTAAAACCCATAAGACATTTGTTTCTCATTCATTGTAAGCTCACCAGCAATAAGGGAATAAAGTTGTCATCTAGAGGAACAGGGATTCAACCAAGCTGGCAAATGCAATAATCTCAAATAGTCGAGCAAACAATACTAAAATGTTCTTTATTTCTAGTTTGTTAGTAAGGGAAATAATACTAATGAGAATAAACAATTGAAGTAATATAGCAAAAATAATAGATTATTTTAAAAATATATTTGGCTATATAACAGAGGATATCGGTAAGATATCCAAAAGGGATTAAAAAAAAATTATTCATGCCTTAGGGACAGATGAAATTATCTGCAAGGGAAAATGGACCGCATACCTGGAATGAAGCATAGGAATGGTGACCTTTTGAATAACACTTCCAACAATGACTGCTTCTCTAAGATTGCATGTTCCTGACTGCAAACACAATGCAAAGGAAGGGAACAAATATCAGCCCCGAAAGCACCTCAGTACTATCAGGAGACAGTCAGATTCCTTGCAAATAAATGCATATACCAACCACTAAACTAATCCAATAGGAATAGATCATTTCAACTTTTGTATTGACATATAGACATAGCAATCAACATGACATACATCAAACATATTTCACAAGAAAATGAAAGAATTTGAAAGGACTTATGGGAAACCTTACAGTAACAAGGCGAACGAGAAATTCCTGATGAGTGAGATTAAAAAACATGATTTGCCTCTCAATCTCCAGTAAGATATAAGAAAACCACAGGTTTCTCAGGTTGGCTAGAGGTTCTAATTCCTGATCAATCACAGGCTTTGCTCTGTTATGTTGCTTGTGAGTTATCTGGTTACAGTGGCCACAATTTATTTTACCCTCCAAGCACAACAGGAGACATTATAGAAACTGAATGAAGATCCAAAACAGAACTGCTAACCTTAAATTCGTAAAAGGCTATCAAGTCACTAAAAGATTTCCATTTCAAGTAGTTTAGATAAAAATTGAGACACGCTATTATAACAACTGATAATTAAACTATAGAAGACCAGTTTCTAAATTTGGTTAACTAAAGGAAAGGACAGCATGATAACCAGTTACGAGGCACACAGTTATCAAAGAGAACAATACGAGGCCACAAAAAGTACATACTTCAACCTAGGTAATACTTGAGAAGGTCACCATAGATTAAACCCAGATCAGATGACTGTCCTTGGAAGTAAGTTTCAGGAATGGTCACCACATGCTATCAGCCCAGAAACTAAAACAGTCAGACTTTCCTTAAGAAATTCATGCTTCAGAAGAAGCAGAAAGCATAGTTTTCATATATTTTCCGGACATCAAATTCACTCAACTAATGCTCTTTCTGTTCTACAAAAAAACAGCTCCCTCTGAATTGGGAGTAGTCACAGTAGTAATGGAACTAGATAAAAGAGCAGCAACAAATTTGTAGACATACAATGATACAAATAAAGAACCACAAGAATCTCTGAATAAGAATGCATACCTTGCACAATGGAAACAATATTCCCTTGTTAAATGCCGCAGGTTTGAAAATAGCCTTTTTCAACGCCTGATAAAGAGCAAAATGCAATCTCTTATTCTTCTTAATGTCATCCCTAACTCGAGGAAGCAAAACTAGTCTATAAAACCGCTCAGCCTTCTTCGAACCCAAGTTCGACGCCAAGATCCTTGTAGCTTGATACATCCCATTTGGGGACCATTTCTCAGGTTCAGTAAGGTACAAGACATCTTCCCAGTGTTGCATTGCAGTGATCTTTCTGAATGCTTTAGGAACTTTGCCAGCTGTGTATTTACTCATGAACTCACCAACCCTGAACGTTAACAATCAAACAGACTATTGTAACTCAAAATGCTTAAACCTTCGCCACATTCCATTGCCGCTGAAATCATTCAGAGTAAGGGGGAAAAGCATTACCCTTTGTACAAATCTATCACCGAGCTGTCCATTTTGGGTAAAGGCCGCGATTCTGCAATCAAACATCTGTGTCAACGAAATAAACTTCTGGAAAGAATCCATAGCAACAAAATTTAACAAACAGCAATGAACCTGAAGAAACTTGTGCATCGTTCTCCTTGATCTTCTTAACAATGATATCTGTAAGTGTAGGCTCCTTACTAGGACCCTTTGATAAGAAAGCCTCCAATATTCTCTCATCTTCCTCATCAATCTCCCCCTGCCAGACAGAACATTAAACAACTCAAACAAAATCAATATGGCTGCTGTAAGAGAGGTCATTATAGATGACAGTTTGTCGTGTAGAAGTAAATTTACCTCAAAATCATCATAGCGACTTTGAGTCTCAGAAAACCCCGCGAAATCATCAATATCGCCATCTTCGTCTTCCACTTCTCCTCCGCTGTGCTTGGCTATGTCAGCAAACGCCTCCCTGGTAGGATTTCTTTCCTGAGCTTCCTCTTCAATCTCCCTCTGCTGAATCAGAGCCTCTTTGAGAATCTTCGAGCTTATCCCGGAAGCTATCGTCTTCTCTTGTTGCTGGTGGTTCCTGGGAGCTTTGGAACGCTTCTTCGAGGAAGCGACGGAGGCATTCTCCTCCGGGAGGAATGGTTCCGGATTCTGCAGCCTGCTTCTCTTCTTTGCCATTGATGCCGACAGGGACAGAGAGGAGCCGCTAGCTGTTGAGGAGGAGACGAAGACCTCGGCGGGCTGAAGAGGTCCTTGGCGGTGGTGAAGTCGGGGGTTTGCGGCGCAGTCGGGGAAGGAAGGGTTTTACTAATTTCGTTTTCTGCAGCAACGGCACTGTCCGCAGGGCTTCTCCCACCTGTTTCTTCCTCCTCCCTTTCTCTTCCCACGGGTACGGCCAGCGTTTTCAACCGGGCCTCCTTCCTTTAATTTTTATTGCCCAGGTGCGGCCCACTACTCCTCTTCCTTCTTACTCTTATAAGCCGGCCCAGAAGCAAAAATGATTCGTTGAAAGAAGGCCTGGAAATGATTTTTTTTATGGGACTTGCTGAGTAGGGTGTGCAACGGTTCGGTTCGGTCTGGATCGGACCAAACTAATGAGAATCGCGATTTATTAGTGAAAGACATCTTAGAATCAAGGATCGGAAAATCATTGTGTTTGGTCCATTTGATTTTGTTTGGTCCGGTCCAAATATCAGTTCGGTCTATCATTTCTTTAGTAACTGTAAAATTCATGTGCACCAAAGACCGGACCATATTATACTCGGTCCAGTGCGGTTCGATCCAAAATTCAGTTTGGTCTGGTGCAATGCGGTCCCGAACCAATGCACACCCCTACTTGCGAGAATGGATGGCCTTGTAATTTACAACTCGATCACCTATCTTTTTGTCATACTAGAAAATTTTCCAAAACTTTATGGGTGTATTGGAATTTGAATGGGAGCGGTTATGGTGATTACCACAGTAGTAGTATTCACCATGGTTGTTAAGAGAAAATTAGGTATGAAATAATATATATTAATTACCTTTCTCAATAAATTACATTTAAAAAAAGTTACAAATACATATTAATTAAAATTTTCTCTCTCCTACTCTTCCACTTTCGCAGATCTCCAACCATCTATCTGCCTTCTTCTTTTCAATTTTTTCTTGTTTCCATTCAGCCAAACTAATATGACTGCAAAAATAAAATAAAAAATCAATACAAATTCATTAAAAACAGTAGTACTTCAAAAAACATCAATATCATTATAGAAATAAATTAAGAAGGACGACCTATTGTAAAGAAAATTGATAGAGTACTAGTTAATGTTCTTTGGTTTAGTTCTTACCCAATAGCACTTTTAGGGTTCTGTTGTCTAGATTATCTTACCATTGTGGGCTCCTGGTGGACAATGACAGTAAGCTGAGGAAACTCCCTGGGCCTTTCTGGAAACAACATCCACACCAGAGTATGAATCCATAATCAAAGGTAATTGGAATGAGCCTAAAACAAGGGGAGGAAGCTCAACAAGTGGCTTTGGAGCGCACTGCCCTTAAGACTTTTGCAGCTGAAAGGGGGTGTATGATCCGGCTTGTTGAGCTATATAAGGAACAAGATTTATTTTACAAACAAAAATCTAGGGGTTATGTGGATCGCTACGGTAGCAAGCGAGCGAAAGGATAAGGAGAATAAAATCAAGGCATTAGGCGATAAGAGGAATCCGGGGAGTTTGGCTAGAGCGTTGTCACTGCCACCGTGGATAGGGAGGGAAGAAGAAGAAGAAGAATCGGATGGGGAAGAGGGTGGGTGAGATATATGAGTTTCCTTTAGGGATGGCAGGCCCGGGCCCGTTAGCGGATACCCGCCCGAGGCCCGCCCGTTAAGAGCCCAAACGGACTGGTCGCACAGGCCCGTCAACGGGTGGCGGGGAAACCGGGATCCGTCAACCCTGGTTTTCGGGTGGGGTTGGTTTGGTCACTATCCGCCCCGTAACCCGCCCGGTGGGTTACCCGTGCACCAAAACTACGTCGTTTCGCCCTCCATATATATATTCGTGTTCTGTGTTGAGAAACCCTAGCAGCCGCCCCTCATTCCTCATTTTGCAAATCGCAGACCAAAAACACCAAACCCTAGTTTCCTTCTTTCTCTCTGCCTCTTCTCTGGCGAATCGCAAGATAATCGCGATTTTTTGCCTTTTCTCCTCTCCAAATCCTCGAATCTCTCCTAGTTTCACTACGATCTATCTTCGATTCCTCCATTCGACCAATTGCATGGCTGGAAGAGCAACGATCCGACGCCGATTTCGTCGAGCACAGGCCAAAAATTGGTCGTTTGGACTTCAAATCCCTGATTGTTCGTCGATAACAGATAAGTCAATTCTAGTTTTTTTCTTTTCTTTCGATTATCTTCGTTGTATCCTCAATCTACTGACTTCTTGACACTCGTACTGCTATATATAGGGGGATTTCAGAGGTCACCAGTCACCATCCTGACCTTCGTCCTTCGCTAAATTTCTACCCAGAACTGAGAACACCCAGTCCACAGAGAGTAGAGACAGAGAGATTGCGACGAGCATCCAGAAAGAGTCCAAGTCTTTTTCTGGGTAAGGATCTTGAACTCGCTTCCTTTTTCTGGGTTTGTGCCTTTGTGGTGTACTGGTGTTAAAACAGACATGCATGCTTGTCTCCTGTTCTAATTTTTTTTTTGTTCGTTGTTCACTCTTTTTTGGCCAGGTTGGACTCATTTGAAGCTGTATTGAAGGACTGAACTCAGAGTCCAAGTCTTTTTCTGGGTAAGGATCTTGAACTCGCTTCCTTTTTCTGGGTTTGTGCCTTTGTGGTGTACTGGTGTTAAAACAGACATGCATGCTTGTCTCCTGTTCTAATTTTTTTTTTTGTTCGTTGTTCACTCTTTTTTGGCCAGGTTGGACTCATTTGAAGCTGTATTGAAGGACTGAACTCAAAGTCTCTGACGAGCAACTGAGCGAGTGATAGTGATCATCAGTGAGCAGTCTACTGTCATTGGGTACTCGACAGTCCTCAGAAAAACAGAAAGACAAGGTAATCTCGTTCTCCTAAGTCGTAACCAGTAGGCAGTAACCATTGTGTTTGTTGTGTTGCTTTGACTTGTTAATGATAATAAACTGTAATGGTAACCACTATGGCTTGCTAATGGTAACCACTAATCCACTATGGCTTGTAAATTGTTGAAAATGGTGTCCTGTTTGCTGGTTAGAAGAAAAAATGTTGTCTGGTTGAAACTGGTGTCCATTTAAGTAAGGAAAAATGTAAAATGAAAGGTCTAATGACTCTAATCAGTGATATATAACTTGATTATGTTCAGATGGAAGGTGCTACTGCTAATGCTATGAATGTTGATCAACATGTCCCTGAAAATGGTGTCCAAGTCCAACCTGAACAACCTCCTCCTGTTCCAAATAATTCGATTAATGGTAATGAGGAAGAACTTGAAGCACAACGTAAGTTAACCTCTAATGTGTGGCCTCACTTCCACAGAGTTAGGATTAATGGGGTAATGAAAGCTAGGTGTAAGTACTGTCGTAAACCCCTTGGTGGGGAAACAAGTAATGGAACTTCACACCTGAGAAACCATATCAGAACATGTATCGAGAAGAGGATACATGATGGTTCTCAAAAAATACTTGGCCCCAACTATCAACCTGGTGGAAATCCTCAACTCTCTGCTTCTCAATACAATTATGAGGTTTCTAGGAAGGAACTTTGTTCTATGGTTCTGGTCCATGAGTACCCCCTTAGCCTTGTTGATCATGTGGGTTTCAAACGTTTTTGCTGTTCTCTTCAACCTCAGTTTGCTGTCCCTAGTAGAAACACAGTGAAAAAGGATATTCTGGGTCTGTATGGGGTTGAGAGGTCTAAATATCAGACAATGATTGATGGAAATTTGGGCAGAATTTCAGTCACTACTGATTTGTGGACTGCCACAAATCAGAAAATGGGGTATATGGCAGTAACTGGTCATTTTATTGACAACTCTTGGAAGCTTCGTAACATAATGTTGAGGTTTATGTATGTTCCAACCCCTCACACTAGTCAAAGGCTAGCTGATAGGTTGTTTGATTCACTTCTTGATTGGAACATTGATGGTAAGTTGTCCTCAATCACACTGGACAACTGTACCACCAATGATTCAATGATATTCCACATGCGAAATAAGCTTGTGAGCAGTGATCTCTTGCTTGATGGTAAACTGATTCATATGAGGTGTTCAGCTCATATTTTGAACTTGATTGTGAGGGATGGTTTGGATGCAATCAAAGATGCTATACATTTGATTAGGGAGAGTGTAGTTTACTGGAATTCTACACCTAAGAGGGTTCAAACCTTCTTTGAAGTTGTTAAGCAACTAAAGTTGACATTTGAGAAAAAACTGGTACTTGATTGTCCAACTAGATGGAATTCCACATACCATATGCTCTCTGTTGCTCTTCAATATAAGGATGTTTTCTTTCGTTTGAGCTTGAGGGACAGTCAATACACATCTGTTCCTTCTAGTTCACATTGGGAATTTGCATCTGTTGTGATTGATAAGCTGGAAATATTTTCTGAGATAACTCAGTTATTCTCTGGTTCCAAGTATCCTACTGCCAATCTTTTCTTCCCAAAGATTTGTGACTTGAGATTGAAACTGAATGAGTGGGGTCTTGACCCCAACCCTGTGATTTTTGGAATGACCAGTCAAATGTCTGAGAAGTTTGATAAGTACTGGGATGATATCCATCTTGTACTTGCTGTTTCAGTTGTTTTGGATCCTAGATATAAGCTCCATGTGATTGAATACTATGCTGGGAAGTTTGGGAGTATGGAAACTGACTTGGTTGGTGATAATATCAAGAAGATTATTTGTGGTTTGATTCTTGATTATCAAACCAAAGCCGAGAAGAATTCTGGTTCTGAAACTGGAACTTCTTCTGCTAGTTTTGGATCTGTCTCGGCTACTGAACTTGACTTTGAGCTCTTTGTAAGTCAAAGGAAAAAGAGCAAGAGTTCTTTGATTACTACTGAGTTGGATATGTATCTTGCCGAGGATATTATTCCTCGGACAGCAGACTTTGATCTGCTCTTATGGTGGAAACTTAATGGTCTCAAGTATCCCACCTTGCAAGCAATTGCAAGGGACTTTCTGGCAATCCCAATTACATCTATTGCTTCTGAAAGTGCATTTAGTTCTGGTGGGAGGTTGTTAGACCCTCACCGGAGCAGGCTTCATTATTCCACTGTTGAATCAATGATGTGCACACGAAGTTGGATTATGGAAGACATGCAACGAGGTAACATGCAACTAAATCTCTAAATTCTAGTACAACTAATTTTGTTTAAGTGTAACTAATATTTGTATACTTTTTTCTGCAGATTCGGAGGCTGCTGCTGTGGAGGCATTGGAGGGAGTCTTCTCAGCACTGTCAGTGGAAGATACTACTGTAGAAGAGGAAGAACCTGGGGGTAAGAAAATTAGTGCATTTCTAATTTTGTTCAATGAGATTTGAGGTTGAACTAATGTGTTTTGCTTTCTGGTTTTTAGGTCCAGAAATGGTGTTCCTGAGATCACCATTTGGCCATGAAGACTGAACCATTCTCTACTGTCCAGCCAGGTTAATTACTTTAAAACTTCTTCTCTTTTGTTGCAAGAACATGGAGTTTGTTGGTGTTACACTGTTACTGGTTAGGCTTAGGGAGTTAAGTCTTTTTACTTGAATTTTAGTGCAGAATTTCAATTGATGAATGATGACTGCCGCTACCTGCTATTGCGTAAGATGGCTAATGGCTTGATGGGTTATGGAAGGCTGCTGTTGGTGAATTTCAATTGATGTATTTCAATCGAAGGAAGGCTGCTGTTGGTGCAGAATTTCAAGTTGAAGCTTCATCTTGCTCGAAGGAAGGCTGCTGTTGGAATTGATCTCAATAGTTAGGATGGCTTATGGCTTTGTTTAGCTAATTAGCTTAGTTGTTCTTGCTTTGAATAAGACTCGGCAATCAGACTGCTGAGAATGGATTGTCTTTTGTTGATTTCAGTTTGGATGATTTGATACTTTGCTTGAATTTTGATTGTTGATCTCAACTTTCAAGTTTCGAATGTTACTGATGTCAGGTTCAGGGTTCAGTTTTTGAGATCTTTTATAAGTTTATTATTGATAATAAAAGGAGATGTCAGATTTTCAGGATTTTTTTTAATGTACTTTGTCGTTTTGGTTGGCATTGTTACGGGCTTTTTAGACCCGTGGGCACCCGAAAACCCAGCGGTGACGGGGCTGGGTATATTACTAGGCCCGGAAGCCCGTTTGGGTCGGGGACGGGTAAACCCGAAGCCCAATGTGGGCGGGGAACGGATACAGGGTACCCGGCCCCGATCCGCCCCGTTGCCAAGGAAACTTTCCTTTGACTTTTATTATATCTTTTTTCTAGAAAAATAAAATATTATGTACAATTAATTAATGTCGATGCGGTATGCCTAAAGTCTAACTTTCTTGTCAAGTCATCTAACATTTCCACCTCATCGAAGAATTTTTCCATGTCAGAGTACTAACGGTTGACCGGATGTAAAGTTAACGGTTTGGCTAATAAATTATTTTTGCAAATGTCTGGCTATTATTATTTATTTAAAATGTAAGATTTGTCTTATAAATTGTATTTACCCTAGTTTTGCTATTCTAAAACCCATTGAGTATATTCCCAGATTTTTTTTGGATTCATGGTTAGGTTCAGTTTGAGTTTAGAAAAATTAGATCCAACTTAATTCGTTTTCATTTCCAAGACTTTTACTTGAATAAATAAATAAATAAATAAGTTAAATTAATTGAATCTTCCAACTATAGTATGAGTGGGAACCCAGTCCAAACCATAAGGGAAATTGCCATTTAGAGTTAGACTAGACCACGCGATTTGGACCAGACCTCGCAATTTGGACCGAACTATAAGACAAATATTACGATCTGGTTTGACTTGTAGTCTCCCCCTTTAGTGTGCTGTCTGAGCAATCTAGACCGTGTTAAACCACGATTAGTCGTGAGCCCGTGATAAACCGTGACCTACTCACTAATCCAAATTAAAATAAAACGAAATCTTTCCTTTTATGCATTTGGAGGTGAGCTAACAATCCGACGCCTCCCATTATAGATTTCAGTACAAGCAACAAATCTACTTGATTCTTCATCCAACTGAAAACCTAACAATTGCTCAAGCGATCCTTTTTGTGTTATCTCTTAATGAAAGAACCACATAAAAACAAGAAAAGATGAGAAAATCATCTCCACTAGCCATGTCTGGACTTCAGAGTCGACTTATAGAAATGAAGAACAAAATTTATTTACCTAGGGTGAGATAAGAGAAACTATGGCGAGCAAAGCGACCAACCAAGTGGTTCAAAACAGTCTCGACGTCGTGTGGGAGAGGATTTAGTGTGGGAATCTTCTGGATCACTCAAGAGGGGGAGAGAAGCGATAGCACAGAGAGAAAGAGGGAGACGAAGTTTGTTGTGTCTTTTATTTTAAGTGGATATCAGATAGAGTATTGAAGAATAAAGTGGAAGTAAGAAATCGAAAAAGTTCACTTCTCTTCTCATATTTCTTTTCGGGTTAATAACAGTTACTAATTTTTGTTCACTATTAAATTGAGCACTGAACTTTTTATTTTTTTGAATATCGGGAAGGATAGGAGGGGACGAAGAAGAGTGAAGTTTTGTTGAAGTCCAAACCGTACCAGACGAATTCGTGCAAGCGTGATCTGGATCGTGTAGTTTTATGATCTATGTTCTAACTTTCTGTCTGAAGCGCATATTGTATATACTCCAGTCTCATCCATACTACACCGTTTCCCACCCCGAAACTCGACAATCAGGAGAGGGAACCAAATAAATCGAATCAATCATTGTGGAAATGGTCAAGACTGTTGAGAAATGTGAATAGTTTGTAAAAACTAAAGGGAAGTCCTTGCAAAAAAGGTAAATGAAGTTAATTCTGATCAATTTTCCGTATTGAAGGAAAAGTTTCCTCAATCAGAATTAATTGACCGAATTAACGAAAATTTTCAATCATCGGAAATAATCATCCATATTGAAGGAATTCATTGATTAGATCAATTACCCGTACTTACGGAAAGTTTCAATTAATCAGATTAATTTCTTATACTAAAGAAACTTGTATTAATCAGGTTGATTGACTGTATTAAAGGAAGGTTTAATTGAGAGTTATTACTTTTGATTTCCTTCCTAAAGAAGATTCTCAATCCTCCACCAAGAGGGAAAGTCTGAAGGTCTCATACTATATAAATAGATGAGTTGCCTAATCCTACGAAAGAGAGCAGAAAGAGATCAATTACCCGAAAAGTTTCAATCAATCTGATTGATCTTTGGTATGAAGAAAACTTTTATCAATCAGGTTGATTGACTGTATTAAAGGGAGGTGTAGGGGTCGTTTGCTTGTTGGATTTAGGTCATGGATTTGGTACCCAAATCCCAAGCTTGATGGATTTAACATAAGTCCATTGTTTGTTGAAGGGTGTTAAATCTCTGGGGTCCACGGATTTGGTCTTTATTTTAGAACCAAATCCGTGGACCCCACGGACTTGTAAATCCCACATATTGATTTGGGATTTGCAAATCCTTGATGGTTAGTTATTTATTTAACAAATCCATCACAAATCCATCATCAAATCTATCATGCAAACATTAGACTCTTCAAATCCATAATCCAATAAATCCAACATAAATCCCAAGATTTTTATTGGCCAAAACTCTCATTTTTCAAATCCAACAAGCAAACGACCCCTTAATTAGGAGTTGGTACTTTCGATTTCCTTTCTTAAGAAAATTCTCAATCCTCCACCAAGAGGTGAAGTCTGAAGGTCTCATCCTATATAAATAGATGAGTTGCCTAGGAAAGAGAGCATAAACACGAAGAGAGTGAGGTTCAAAGAGTTTCGATTTCGCCTAAGTCGTGAGATAACAAATAGTAGTTGTTTTATCTTAGAGGCGTCGTGGTGATGGACTCTTGTGCGCATTAAGAGTCAGTACCGCAAACGTTTTAAAAAGAATGACATAGTCTGTGATTCCGCCAGATTCGGTAACCCTAGTTTCACTTGTGCGGTTTCTAACAACGGTGTGAACCATTGATCTCTGGAATTCTCTTCTTCAGACTTCGGGAAACCCTTCGGTGTTCGATTCGCGTGACTACTTTCTAGGTGGGTACTTTATTCTTTTCTTTCGTTTTCTTCGAGTGTCGGAGAACGCTCGTTACTAATTTCACTTGATGGATTTGGTGGGTTTCTCTTGTCAAATTATTGTGGATTTCCCGTGCCCTTAGATTGATTGCCGGGAGAATGGAAGAAGAATCGTCGGGAGGCGGCTGCAGAAGCTGGGAAGAGGAAATGTATTGGAAGCATTTCCAGTTCACCCACTTCTCTCTGTTTCTCCTTCCTGGTTACGATCACCAGCTTGTAAGCTTTCTCTGTTCTGCAACCCTCTATCGTTAATTTCTGGGAATTGGAAGCGAAGTTGCATTCATGACCTTACTTTACCCTTCGTTTCTGACAATAAAGTTTGCAACTTCCATCGAGGTTTCAGGCTTATTAGAGTTCTGTACCTTGCTAGTGACAATGTGTGACCTGGGTTCTGCTCATTTTGCTTTATGTGATCTGTTGTTGCTTTGATGATGGGGGAGCAGGCCATGCCGAAAGCCTTCTTTGGTAACCAGAGAAAGAAACTGCCCGAACGAGTGACACTCAAAGGTCCCGGTGGCAATACATGGGAAGTTGGACTGACCATAAATTCAGGAACTATGTTCTTCGATGAAGGTTGGGGAAGATTTGTGAAAGACCATTCGCTCAAGGAGCATGATCTCTTGGTCTTCAAGTATAATGGGGTTTCCCATTTCGAGGTTCTGATCTTCGATGGGGAGACCTTCTGCGAGAGGGCGAGTTCTTATTTTGTTAAGAAGACTGAAAAAAGAAAAGCTCCTCTTGAAAATGGCAGCCATCCCAAGAGGATGCATGGAGGAAACTCTTCTGGTGTTGTTATGGCTACCCCTGTTGCTCAGGTTATGAGCACCTCGTTAGAGAAAACTGCTGATAATGACATTGGCAGCACGGTGCCATCATCGAAAGCTGGTCATACGGTAGTAAAGAATGTCACTGGAACAACACCTGTTTCTAAGCCTGTCAGTAGAACAGTTGAACATCCTATTGTTTGGGAAGCTACCAATGTAAATACCGAGAGGCAAAAGAAGAGCATTGGTGGCTCAATTCATGATAGCGAGACTGAGAAAAGCGAAGGGCTCTCTTGTTCTGCGGACATGGAGAAAGATAAAGGTAATGCTATGTATCCCAGCAATCTTCTATAGATGCATCAATTTGGTTTATGAAATGTTTGTTATTCCAGCATCCATTGCTCCCTTGATTTAACTTTTCGTTTGTGAACTACTATTGAGTTATTGTCGTGACATTCACTTAGATGCATGTTGAATAGCCGGGTGCTAAGAGTTACCGTAGTAGAGATTTTCTGGGTAGTTACCTTGGTTTTCTTCATGATACAGTTGTTAAAACAACACCCCTCAGCTTTGATGTGGTGCATGATGTCCCATACATATCACTTAGAAAGATGGTAACAGAAGCTGAGAAAAGGAAGGCTCTGCAATCGGCACAAGATGCTGTAACCGCAGATGGGTTCTACGTTGTCATGAAACCCACACATGTATATAGGAAATTCTTCATGGTATGATGCGACACCCATTTCTTTTGTTCATTCAGTTTCCTTTTTTTCCCGGTAAACCTGATTCTTTGGTTTTACTGGCATTTGAGTCAACAAATTTTGAGCTATGTTTCTGGGGGTTTCTTTCTACATCCTGGCAGTCCATCCCAACTGTATGGATGAACAAACATCTTCCCTTGTTGCTCAAGCACGCCGTGGTCCTGAAGATGAAGGACAAGACCTGGACGACCAAGTTTACATATCAGCAGTCTCGTAAGAGCGGTGGCCTCTCGGCCGGATGGAAATCATTTGCTGCTGAAAACAACTTGGATGAGTTTGATGTTTGTGTGTTCGAACCTGATGCTCCATTCTACACATCGATTAGCCTGAATGTTAAGATCGTTCGTGTGATCCAAGATGAGTAATTTTTTGGTGACAGTCTGAGGTTTGCTCCTAGAGTATGCTTTAATTTATTCTGTTTAGAGTTGCTGCTTGGCCCCTCTACCTAGGATGCTGTGAGGTGTGCTTCATAATGAGGCAACAGGCTTTCAGTGGGCTAGCCAAGCTAATCTATGCTGGGGATTGGGTGCACTAATGATTAGTGGCTGTGGAGTCTTAGCTTTGCACACCCTGTACACTGATGAGTGATGAGACTCTAGAAATGTGCTCTCTTTTATACAGAACAGTATGTCAATTTAGATAATTAGACATTTCTAATGGAGATAATTAGCAATGGTCTTATTGTCGAATTGTCTTGTTTTTATCTTTTCTACCCAAAGGAGACCATGGTTTATATGGGTCGTTTGGATGCCAAAATAATCCGCTTGGCAAAACTAGATGAGATGTGGCATTTTGATGTCGCAACTCGCAATTACTACATCACAAGTTGATGTGCCACATATCCAGAATGCAACATGCACATATCCAGAATGTTGCATCCAAACGACTGAAAAATGCCTAGTTATGGGCAGTTTATCCCAAATGCTTCAATTAATGCACATTCAAACAAACAATAGATAATAGAAGGTTTCGTGAGTTTTTCGTATAATCCCAAGCCTTTATTCTATTAAGTTAGCGTCCAAATCCAGATGCCATTCTAAACTCTCAAGTTCAAGTACAATACTAAAGGATGAACTCTTACACTCATTGCTCTATGATAACCCATAAAAATAGGTGCTATCACGGGACGGGATACGGTGACAACCCCCTTGGGGTTGTCAGATTCACAACCAAGGGTATTTTGGGTATGAGAAAAAGGAATATATTAATTACCTTTTTGTATTAATTATATTGGGAATTAAAAACCCATATTAAATACAATTTTTTTTCTGAAATTTAAATCCTATACATTAATATCTCTATCTATCTCTCTCTCTCTTCCTTTCTCCAGCAGCCACTCCGCATCGACCGACAAACTTTTTCTCCGGCGAATTCTCTCCGGTAGACTCCCTCCGGCAACCTGAAAAAATGTACCAATGCGTTAAAAAGTGTACCAATCTATTAGTCTACTGGTAATTAATATACCAGTGCTAGTGGTACGCTACCAGTACGTTAAAAAATGTACCAGTACTAGCGGTACCAGTAAAAAATGTACCAGTGCTAGAGGTGCGCTACCAGTACGTTAAAAAATGTACCAGTACTAGCGGTACCAGTAAAAAATGTACCAGTACTAGTGGTACGCTACCAGTACAACGATACCACTACCATATTAGTAGCGGTACCAGTAGAGAATAACACAACGCTACTAGCACTGGTAGCACTACCACTAACATTGGTAACGGTACCAGTAGAGAATAACACACAAAAAAAACCAGACGATAGTGGTACCAGATGATAGGGGAGCTACTGGTATTGGTACCAGTAGAGACAAACAAAAAATCAGATCGTCGTCCCTCCCACGGCGCACGGAACCAACCCAATCGCACCGCTACCGCCGCCGCACAACCGATCCCTCATGGGACACTTCAGGGACACAAGCAGAGTCAAATTTGCAGCACCGTTGAGCTCGTAGATATTGCAACACTTGTCGGCAGGAGTTGGTTCGATAGAGTTTCCTGAGAAAGGGATCTCTGGTAGTATGAGGCTTCCAATAAAAGTTTTGGTGCACAGATTATCGAAGAGATACAAGGATGGAGGCGATATTGCAATGATCAAAAGAGATGGGCGGAGTGGTACCCGCAAGCTTTCCCCACGTCGATGTCGGCGTGGAGAGGGACTACCGCCGTAGCGGAGATCGGCTGAGAGGCGGAGGATTGCATGGTGAGATTCGCACGCCGGCGGCACGATCCCGTCCCATATCTTTTTGTGGTGGTTGGCGATTACGCCGCTGCGGCCGGCCATGTTGCTCTGGCCCGATAGGATGAAGATCTGCGACGGTGAATCCTGCTGTACGGGAGAGAGGGAGGAGAGAGAGAGAGGGAGGATGGAGGGTTAGGGTTAGGGTTTTTTTCTTTTTATATGGTAGGGGGAATGATTGGGTGTGGTAAATTTTTACCTTTCCAAAAATATCCTTCCTTTAATCTTAACCGTTAATTTAAAAAAAGAAGAAAGAGACAGGAGAGAGAGCGTATCCAAGGGCTATGAAGTGGGTTGTGAATCTGACAACCCCCTTAGGGGTTGTCACCGTATCTCGTCCCTGCTATCACTTATCAGCCTTCCATTTCTATGTGTTTTCATGGCCCTTTGAGTTTAATGATCCTTAAACGGTTGTATTTTAGTTGAGGAATGTTTCATATTCGATATGAACATGTTTTACACATACATTGTGAGGGTTTAGTTGAATTTGGAACAAAGGTTGGACAATAAGTGTAGCTGTGTACGTAGGGAGCAACTATTATGGAGTTCACGGTCTTCACCAAGAGACCACGGTCGCGATGTTCAAAGCCGTGATCGAAGGTTATAGAGTTGCAGAAGTTCATGGTCGTTATCTTTATGGTCAGGCTACAAACCTTAGCAATAGGAGAGTAAGAAGAAGCAGAAGCTCTCGTGGTCAACCTCGCGGGCACTCGAAGGAAACCACGACTTTCGAGTTCATGACTGCGAGAAAGATCACGATCATAAACATGAGGTCGCGATATCTGAAGATGTTTTGAGCAAGATGATGGCGTATTAGAGTTCATGGTGTTGAATTTCCGCAAACTCCACCCATTAACAAGGCCGATCCTTCCTCTCCTATATGTAGTTGAAGGATTTTGAAAGAGGGAGAGACCAGACTGTCAATTTCATCACCCAATTAGAGAGAGAAAGAGTGGGCTGTATTATCGAAAGAGAAGAATACCTAGGAGAAGAGGGAGAGAAATTCTTGGAGCTAAATTTCCCCAGAGTCAAGGCTGCTAGGACTTTTTTTTTGTATTTTGGGTAAGAAACCCCTAACCTAGATGTAGGGGTTTGTGATAGCAATGGACAATTTGATGAGATCTTAGTATCTTCTGGCTATGTGATTTAATTTAACGCTTATCCATGTCTAAATTGTACGCGGATGATGATTTAGAGTTTGACCCATAAAGGTGGCAATTCAATTGGGTCAAGATGCGACTAAAATTAAGTAGAACAACAAGGTAATTGCATGACCATTAAATTGCTTAGTTTTGTTATCTTGGAATTGTTCCATTTTACAAGGATTGTGCATATCTCTAGCTTGGGTGGTTTATTACAGGACCATTGAGTTGCTTACCATAGCTAGGGGTAAACTGGTGCATGATTATTGACACAATTGCCTCTTATCAAATCCTTGCACTTTAATTACTAGAATTAAAACAATTGAAGTCCATTAGGATTGCATTAGTTGAAAAATCATAAACTTATAGACTATAAGAATTCGATCCTTTAAGTGGTGATATGTCTTCACTTTCCCAAGGAATACGGCCTTGGTGGGTTCGGGTTTGGGTCAATCGGGGTACTGGTTTAATCGGTTTGCGGGTCAAGCGGATTTGGGTTAATCGGGTTGTGGGCTAGTTTGGTTGCGGGTTAATCGGGTCACGGTTCAATCAGGTTGCAACTCGGGCAGGTTGCGAGTCATTGACTTTTAGTCAATTCGGGTTACGCGTGGGTTGCAGGTCGGGTTAGTCGGATCGGCAACTGTTTTGACATCTCTATTTAGTATTTGTGGGTGAGCTACACGTGATAGTGGAGCGCTATCCGTTCTTATTATATGCTGCTCATGAATGGATGGGTTCCCTCTAACGTGACTTGTATAGGCCTCTCTTGTAATACATCCACCATAAGATCCTGTTTAGTGACCTAAAGGAGACATGTCACCTGAAAGGGAGAGAACCCTTCTACACCGTAATCGAAAAAACCTCTAACAAAATTTTTACTAGCCCTTACCTGAGATGCCTTAGTAATGTGAAGCCCAATTTTACCTCTAGGAGGCCCATAAGGGCTCTTGCACCATGAACAATGATCTGGAGTATGAAAGCACCCTTCTCCGCCAAGGTTACTGTTAGCCGAACCTCCACAATACGCCAATCCATATGTCAACACATGTCCCTAATTCCAAGTGGCAGCTCCTGTTCCCCATGCGCCCACCGCACCTATGCAAGGCAACCAAAGCCCATGGCATTTATCTCAATGGTTGGTCCTTTTCCAAGGGCTCCTGAAAAATAAGAAGGGGCTCATAGTCACAATCGACTATTTCACCAAGTGAATTGAAGTGGAAGCCTCCACGAGAATGACAACTAAACAAGTTGAAAAATTCTCCTGGAATAAAATAAATTTCAATTCAGCCTCCCACACATAATTGTGCTCCACTAGGGCACACAATTCAAAAGTGACAAATTCCAACCTTACTATGCCGCTATGGTATCCTCCTCGAATATGCCTCGGTCTCTTACCCTCAAGCTAACGGTGAGGTGGAGTCCGCCAACAAGAGCATGTGGGGATTCAAAACCCGTTTGGATGATGCTAAGGGAAATGGGTAGAAGAGCTCCCACATGTCTTATGGACTCACAAGACCACCTTCAAAAATGCCACTGGGGATGCACTTTATGAACTCACATACGACATTAACGATTGCCAATTGATATGGAGTTGGCCTCCTATAGGATCCTATCCTTTAACCCAAGCTCCAACAAGCATGAGCTCAAACACAACCTAGACCTTGTCAATGAGCAATGTGAGGGCGCTCTACTTTGCCTTGACGCCTCCTAGGATCAAGTTGCTCGCTACTACAACTCAATGTTAAGCATCACCCATTAGGAGTAGGAGATTGGGTGCTAAAGCTAAACTTGCACTCTGATCCCTTCCTGGGAAAGTTTACCCTCAAGTGGGAAGGACCATGCTAGATGAGGGTAATTGTCAGAGGACCCAACACGGTCAAATTGGATTATCCTCAAGGTAGCAGTATGCCAAAAACTTGAAACTTTATGAATCTTTAATACTATTTCACCCCAATGTAGTTATGAAATCCGAATAAAAATCTAGTGTATGAAGATACAAAAGCAAGCTTCATTGCATTTCTTGTAATATTACATGGTAGCTTACAGCAAAGAAAACAATAAATAAAGAGTGCATAAGGAGAACACGAGTCCACTACATCTCAACCTACTCAAACTTAGAATGGGATAGAGGAATAATCCAAGTGTAAAGGTGGGGTACATGTGAAGGGAACATACACAACCAAAAGATCCCACCATCATTTTTATCATCTATGCTTGTCACATAACCTCAGCCTATAGGAAATTATCGTTCAAGTAACCGTTGGGTAGTAGTAATGAAACATAGACGACCAAATGAAAGAACTGGGCCGCTATTGTAGGCATGAACTCTCGTTGTCGACACAAGCTCTCTCTCATGCAAGGGACTCCCTTGCCCCCTAACGTCCTCCTGCTGTTGTGTAAAGAAGAATTACATCTCCGCTAGGGCAGCATGATCATGTGTGCGATTCCTCCTCTTGCTCCATCTGGCAATGCAAACTCACTAGCCGAGTCTTTAGATCCGAGAATGAGCCTCCTAAATTTGTATTACTCATCCACCCTAGTGCGCTCATCCCGATCAGGTGCCTGTCAGGCTTCACGAGCCTCCAAAACCCGAGAAGAGGTTGACCCTACAACAACTATAAGCAAGAAAGGTAAATCCAAGGAAAAAGTGAAATGGAAAAAATTCACAGAGTAAAGATGTAAATACCTTCATAATAGACACCATGATGAAAACATAAATATCATATTTGATCTCCATTAAATCCCTCCAACAACATGTCTAAACTTCATGGAAAATCATCAAAGGATATGTCTAGGTAGCCATGAAGAATTACATTAACGGTGGAAAACCTCTAGCTAAAATACCCAGAGGTCATGTGGACTCCGAACATGGGGATTCAGCACCTTCAAGCGATGAAAGCACCATGGTGTGAGACTAGAGTGGAACCACCATGCTACTATCACGACTAGCTGCAAAGCCATACCCCTTCACCATAAACTCTCTTATCTTGATATTACCTCCACCAATTACAAGATGAGCATCCTATTGTGACCTCATGATCCCTCATCCTTAACTCCATGGCAAATCTCCTCCTCCGACGTTTCCCATAGCCACCCACAAACAAATCAACCAGAAAACATAGGAGGGGGACTTCTCTTGGGAAATTGTGGCAAGTCTTCGACGAGAGACCCCTAAGGCTCCCTTTCCACCATCGTTGCTCTCCATGAATGCATCTCTCTTTTTAGGATCCGATGGATCTCTATATTTTTCCAGAGGGGAGCCATACATTTTAAAGAGCATGTAATGAAAATAAGAAAAAATTGGTGATTATTCATTCAGTTAGTTTTGCTACTAGATTCATATGCAACATAACCCAACAGTGTGGGCCTGACTGGAGGCTTCGATTCAACATTATTGATAGTGCTTCCCACATCGGGGATGCTAACACTCCTACGAACTAAGCCTCCTAGATATAGGAGGACAAGAGTAGAAGAACCTAGTGTGCCACCCTCTGTCTCCATCATAATATCACCAACCATGCCACGCACCATTGGTCTACATGCCAAAGTCAGATACCAACAAATCAATATTACAACATTGGAATAAGTCCACAGTAGGATTCCCAGAAAACCCGACAACACGAGATGAACAACGAAACATGGAACCATAAGGCGGGAGACATGGAGCTTGTGGAAATATCCCACTCCTCCATCACCTCACCAAGCCACCATAGGAGAGGCGGATGCAAGCTATGTATTAGTGAATGGTAGTGCATCCCATACCACCCAGCCTCCATAATAGATTTCAGCCTCATCTTTGGCATAACAAACTCCCTGTTTGGACAAAGGGTGAATTACAAAAAAGAAAAAAAAATGCAAGTGGTACATCTCGCACCACAAATGACGGGTCCACATGGGTCATGAGGACCACCAATATGTTCCCCCTAAGGACACGTGTCTTCCAGCATGCGGATGCATATCCCTATGTCTTGATAACTTGTAGATATATGCATGATGCCCTCCACAACAGCTGCACTAGCTCCTGCAGGCTTCCTATTGACATCTAAAGCCTTCTCGCCAACCGTCATGGTCGGTCCATGAAGCCCATCAAACATATCCTCCCTCATCACTCCTACCGCAACAATCACTTCACTAGCTCAACCTTATTTCCCTCTTGGATAGTCACCTCTACCTCGTCAACATGGCTGACCTCCCTCAAAACACGAGCTCATTCCATAAAACCCATAACATTCACTGGGGAATGACAAAAATAGGTGTCTCTAGATAAATATGGCAACCCATACTATAGGTTCTAAGGATCGATGACGTGCAACAGAAGTGGAGAATCGAGTGGGAGATATACCTTATATAGTCGAAAGTTGAGGCAGAGTATCCCTCCACCTCCTACTTCTAAACAACGTTGCTTCCCGGTATGGATGAGAGTGGCAAAAAGAAAGTTGGATAAGGTTGGAAGCAAAAGGATTGTAAAGGTTTCCTGGGGGCAAATTAGTGAAGAAAGGGGAGGGAAAGGGTAGAAGAGGAGTGGATAAGTGTGGAATTGGAGATTGATGGAGGAGATGGGTTTATATAGCGAAGTTGGTGTACCTTCCCGCATTTCAGATTGTGATCAATAAATGTAGCACAATTTCCCGATTGTCAACCACCTCAATATTTGATGGAGGATTAACATAACACAATTTTCACATAATCAACTATCATAAAAGTGAAAGGTATATATAACAAAGAAAAAATTAATGAGATCATCTTCCTCCATTAACTATAATAAATTTTGACCCAATAATAGAGGATGTTGGCATGAGCAATGATTTTATTTTACCTTGTGATCTCGGGTCATTGATTGGTTTGGCCTTCATCAACTCAAGAAAGAACTTCACTAAAATGTGAACAACATTGGACCACTTGCTGTCAATATACAATGGAAGGATGAAATTGTCGATGGAAAATCTCCATAATTTGGCATTCTCATCAACAAGGGGGGAACTGGTGGACCCTAAGTAAAAAAAATTATTTGGCAAAAATACCCCAAATATACCACACTCACCAACCCACACCAATTATCTTGGGTCACCTTTGGTACCCTGTGATTGTTGTGGCCACCCACGGGGTTAATTACCCGGAGTCATGTTGGTCATCCTTGGGTCACTCCGGCCAACCCCGATGTTAGTCATCTAACTCACCTCGAGTCACAATGGCCACCCCATGGTCAATCACCCCTGGCCACTTTTGTAACCCCGGCACTCACCCCCTGGGTCACTATTGTGAACCTGGGGTCAATTACCCCGAGATCAATCAACTCGGGTAGCCTTCGCACCCCAGACTCAATCACTCTTGGTTACTCTGGTCACCCTTGGGGTCAATCACAGGAGGTCACCCAACACCCTTGGGGACAAACACCCCAGGTGCCCTCGGGTTAGTCACCCTAGATCATGTACACACATAACATGTCTTTCCCTTACACCGAGTTCCCAGAGAAGGGCATGTACAAAAGGATACCTAGTCTGTTGTTGAAGGTAAGCAAAAAACCTCATGTCTAGACTCATGAAACTCCAACTATAATTAGGGAAGATATTCATTTTAAACTTTATTCCTCATATTTCTTTTCGAGATCATATTCATATTTTCCTAGAATTACTCACTAACTTGAGTATAGGAGAGTGTCCCTGTCGTGATCGGCAAACAAACCCTATTTATAAGAGAGGACCAGAGCTAACATCACGAAAGTAATTCGAGGTGAAATGTGACCATCAACCGACTCTAATGCCCAACATAAATCTTTTTTAGAACCGCTACAACCCGACATCAATAGAATGTCAAACTTCCCGACCTTTGAGAACCACCCATATGCTTTACCGAATTACATTATGGAACAGTTTTTCCTTTTCATTTAGGCTTAAGCTTAACACGAAGATTCGAAGGTGCGGGCTTGTGTGCTCCACAGTCCACAGCTAACTTGTATGGCCCATAAGATACCATTTCCCATTTGCATCCCACAGCCAAAGAAAAGCCACTCTCCCTCCACTCGTCTCATCTTCATTGCTTGGCAGCCAGACATACCGATACCAAAACCAAATCTATCTCATCCCTTCGCCTTATCCAAATCCGCTCCCCAAATTACAAAAATCAATCCCCTCTCTTCCTCCTCCAACCCCATAACTCTTCATACAGGTAAAGGAAAAGCTCCAAACTTTCCCTCATTTTACTCCCTTCCCTAACCCATCATCATAACCATTACTGCTCCCTTATTCATCTCCTTGCAGGGTCTTAAACATGGCGTCGGCAGCAGCAGCAACTGTAACTGGCGCGGTGGTGACAATCGGAAACTCCAACACCACCCAACAGAAGAGAACCACCGCCAAGATGGTCTCCATTGGAGGGCTCAATTCCTTCGGAGGGTTGAAGGCTCACAACAGCGTGGCCGCTCTCGGCCAGTCCGTTTGCGCCGATCAGGGCTTTGCCAAGATTGTGAGCTCCATGAGGAAAAGTGGCGGCGGCGGCGGTGGTGCCATGTCTTCTAAGTGCAGCAGAGTTGGGGAGATCTTCCAGATTGCTGCAATTATGAATGCTCTCACCTTGGTTGGAGTCGCTATGGGGTTCGTGCTTCTTCGAATCGAAGCTGCCGTCGAGGAATCGGAATGAAAGCCTCCCGGAGTTTTTGGAACTCCATTGATGTTGTCTTCTTTTGTTAGTGTCATTTATAAAGTGAAATTTTAAATATTTTTTTTTTGGGTGTACAATGAAGAACATTTCTGGTTTATGGTTAATAAGAACCAACTATGATTATCCTCGAAGGCCTTTCTGTACGAATCGTTCATGCAACCCAAGGTTCTTGATGTGCTTGGTCGGTCAATTTCTGGGGTTACAATGTATATTTGTTCAAGTATCGGTACTTAGCAAGTGCAAGCACAGCAGCAGAAGGTAAGACGATTAAGGTTGAGAACAAACCAAGTTGGCATTTGCTTCTAATCCTTGTAGAATGTAGTCCCAAGTAACTCTAGCCTCCTAGCTCCGAGCGAGAGAGGAGCTAGCCTGGTCAATGACAGATTTGTATCAGAAACTTGAACAACTATGAACAGATCGAGACCCCAAAGGCATTACCTGAAAAGGTTCAAACTCATCATTCTCGTACACCTTGAGAAAATTTGCCAAACAAAGCAGCTGCCAACATAAAGGGAGTTAAGTAGACCAATTCATCCATAGAAAGAAAAGAACACAGAAATGCCGAACAACCACACGAAATTCAACCAACCTTAACTATGGCCGATCCAAGATAGACAAGCGCAGTTTTAATGGATGTGCCAAGAGTATCATACTCTGAATGACCTGCCCACAAACCATTCCATTACCTCAATTTTCAAACACAGTGATAACAAGAAGCTTCCTTTGAGCTGAAACCAAACAAGCAAATCACTACCCAGTACTCATATTCAAACGAGGAGTAAATTACACGGTTGGTCACTCGAATTACTAAAAACATTCATGTTTGGTCACTACAAATATTTAATTATGGTAGTGGTCACTAGAATTAGTTTGATGGTTCATGTTTGGTCACTCTCTGTTACCTTCCATCAGCCTCCATTAACATCGTTATTTTTTTTTCTGACGTGACTAACAGAAGTGCTGATTCACCCAACTTAAACTATAAAAAGATACCCACCTGACCCGTACAGTCAGCTAAACCCTGAGATACCCACCCGACCCGTGACCCAATCCTTCATCTTCTTCCTTTGGTTGATCGGACAAAAAAAAAAAACCTAAAACCTCATGAGAAGAATCTCAAGCACAAACAGGGACGGAGATAGCATGTGATTAGGGAGTGCAATGGCACACCCTTGAATTGGGAATAAGACATAAAAAAATAGGGTATAAAGTTATGCTATAGCTAAGTTTTGAACATAGAATCCCCTTATTATTAGCATTGCTGCTACCAGTCGCCACTGCTAGTGTTGAAAGAATATTTTCGGCAATGAACTATGTGAAGAACACTCTTCGGAGTCGAATGAGTGATGATATCATGAATAATTTTTTGATAGGATATATTGACAGTGACATTCTTAATAATCTGGATAATGAATGTATCTTTACAGACTTTTCAAAATATGAGAACCTGTTGTGGGTTACTAAAAAAATGATAGTCATTTCATTTTTTTTAAGTTGGAACGCACCGCTTCTCTTGATTGGGATTATGCTTTGATTGGGATTGAGGCTAATGTGGAATGCACCGCTTCTCTTGATTGGGATAGAGGCTAATGTGATGATGATAGCCACGGGAAAGCCAATCAAAGAAGGAAAAAGGGGGAGGGAGAACTGCCCATTCCCAGAACTTCGCAAGGGAAGAGGAAGGGGTAAATAATTGGCGACCGGTCGGGGTTTCAGAGTTGGGTTTGAGTGAGTTAATTGGCTGACGTGGCCAGTTTCTGATGTGGCGGGTAAGGTCTATTTTTTTTAAGTTGGGTGACTCAGCATTTCTGTTAGCCACGTCAGCAAAAAATTGATAGTATTAACGGAGGTTGACGAAAGATAACGGAAAGTGACCAAACATGAACTATCAAACTAATTCTAGTGACCACTAATAGAATTAAATATTTGTAGTGATCAAACAAAAACGTTTTTAATAATTCAAGTGACCAATCATACCATTTACCCTTCAAACGAGAGAATAGAAAAAAATATCCAGACCAAAACAAGGGAAGGAGTTGCTTTTCCTGGTGGGCCGGAAATCGCTTGAATGAAATGGGCCTTTAGATTGAGTTGGGCTACCGCGACCAGCCTCGTTTTCGTTGGGCCAGTACGTCCAAATTGCACTATACAGGTGTTGCAAGAAAGTTTACACGTGTTCCAGCTACCATGTAGAGGTAAATTTTTGACTTTTGATGACTTTATAATAGTAAGAAAATAAGATTTTTAAATACTTTTTTTTAAATGCTATTCTTTCGACTTTTACTAAATGCTTTCTTTATGCATATTTATATTCAATCAATTTTCACCATACCCTGGCAAAGCCAAGAAAGAAAACTTGTTAGCGACCTTGTGGCCTGAACGTCACTACAAACTAGGGGTTGGTTCGTTTTATCATTAATTATAAGTGACATAAATACAGGATCGAAATTTGGGGTTACGATAAGTGCCCAACCCGCAATTTCAACATTTCCTTGGTGGTGTTATGTTGCGAGGTATTTTGTATATTATATGACAATAAATAAATAAATGATGCCCGTGATTGGGAATTCATTGCAGACATAGATAGAATCATAGAACAGAGTGAAACTTGGTCAATTAAGAATTTAATTAATAAAACAAGGGTATTTTGAAGCCTTTTACCAGCCGGCTAAAAACTGTATAGACTGTTTTTTGTGTTTTTTTGCTGGAAAAAGGGGTGCTAAAAGGGCACCGCCAGCCTGGCACTAGATTAAGCAAAATTGGGCAATGCCCATAGTATCATACAGAATCCAGAAGTTAAGGCCGGGATCCGGGAAATTAAGTTCGTGAAAACCAAAACTAACGGAATGGGCCTTATTTGTGAGATAGTCTGCCGCTTTATTTCTTTCCCTATAAGTGTGAGAGATTAGAACCTCCCAGTCTCTTTGAAGAAGTTTTCGCACCTTGCAGTGGAGATTGAGGAAGAGGAAGGTTGTCATTGAATCAATATGAAGCTGTACCTTCCTGTAGCCTTTCTCCCAAGCCATTTCAAGTCCATGTAAAACTCCCTTGATCTCAGCCTTGGTGATTGTGCAGATTCCCAAATTGGCTATGTAAGCGCCAAGACATTTGCCATTGTGGTCCCGAAGCAAACCTCCAGCCGCCGCCCTTGAGTCTGGTTGTTTAACTGATCCGTCAGTGTGCACTGAAATTCAGCCCTCGGGTGGCGATTTCCAAGCAAGCTCCTGATTTTGTTTGCACCTATCCCTTCCCAACGCACGAGTGTCATTCTCCATAGCCTGCTCAATAGTCCTTGTCCAGCATTGGATTCGATAAGTTAAGGAATGAGCATCTTCCCATTTATGTTGGAATGTCCATTCGTTGCGCCGCTTCCACAAATGCTAAGCCGCCACGCCAAACAACCTCGCATGATTTGTGTCGTGGAGGTGAGCAAGCATCCATTCTGAAAAACCAAGGCCGCAAGTTAGATTGTTGTCAAGAATGCCCAATTGTTGTCGTGCCTTTTTCGCTTCGGGGCAGTGTCTGATAAAGTGTTAAGCCGATTCAGACTCCATATTGCAGATGGTGCACACTTCCGAGTTGCAGAGTTTCCTTCTTTTTCGTTCACAATTGGTCATCAATCTATCATGGAAGACAAGCCACAAGAAATGGCGGATTCGATTTGGTCCACTCCATTTCTATACTGTTCGTCAGGCTCGAGCTGTCCAAGATCCAGCTTCGCCTTCTGATTCTTTGTTAAGCCAAGTACTCGCCGCTTCATAAGCCGATTTGAGCCGGAAGTGGCCATCGGCCTCCAACCCCCATGTTGTAATGTCTTCTCCAGCCTCTGGAAGAGGAGGTTCCATACCTGCAATGAGGGTAGAAAGATTGTGAGGGACGAAGGGAAGAATTCCGGACCAATTCCACTCACTTGATGACAGCCTCATCTCAGAAACCGTAGCGTCCCAGCTCACAGGCTCTTCTTGTGTACGTAAATGATCTCAGAGAATTGTGTCGTCTGTCAACCATGGATCCTGCCAGAATTTCACAGTGTGCCCATCCTTCACATCCCAAATAATCTGTTGCTTTAGTATAGGTAGTGCTTTCAGGATTCCCTTCCACAATCTGGAGACTCGGTCTCTTTTGAACACCATGCCCCCATTGGCAGCTTGCTTAAAATATTTTTCCTGCAGGATCTTTATCCAAAGCTGGTTTTCATTGTTGAGGAAGAGCCATCCCAACTTCATCATGTACGCAATATTCAAGGCACGAGCAAAATGAAGCCCCAACTCCCTTCTTCTTTTGGTTTGCATATGTTGTCCCAAGAGACTAGGTGAGCCTTTTGCTTGCCTTCTTCCCTTACCCAAATAAAATTCTTGATCTTCCTGTCAATCACATCACAAACTGAAACAGGAAGAACAATAGTTTGCATAACATAATTTGGTAAGGCATTAAGAACGGAAGTAGTAAGAGTGACCCGCCCGGCAAGGGAAAGATATTTTACTTTCCAACCGGATAGACGTTTGTCAAGATTCTCCAAAATATACTTGTACGTTCCTTGAGTCACCCGGCCGTGGATGACAGGAACGCCAAGGTACCTGCCCAAATTGTTAGTCTGTGCAATGCCCAGCATTCTGCTAATCATGTTCTTGGTTCTGGTATGTGTGGTCTTGGAGAAGAAGATGCAAGATTTATCTTTGCTAATTTGCTCTCCATACGCTGCACAGAAGCGATCCAAGCAGTCCGAAACCGCAACACTTTGTTGGATACTAGCCTCGCTCAATAAGATCAGGTCATCTGCAAAAAAGAGATGGGTTAGAGGTGTTCCATTTGTTGATAACCGAATAGGATTCGAAGTTCCTCTATTCACCAAGTCCTTAATGCAGTGGTTAAGACGTTCCATGCATAAAGTAAAAAGGTAAGGAGAGAGAGGACATCCCTGACGAAGCCCGCGTGACAGTTTGAACTCCTCGGTGCAACTCCCATTCCATATAACTTGGTCACTTGGATACTGGTTGTAGTGACACAAGCCATGAACAAATCAACAAAATCAGTAGGGAGGTGAGCCGCTTCGAGGGTGGATCTAAGGAAGGACTAGTTGACTCTGTTGTAAGCTTTGGCAAGGTCTACTTTCAGAACCATTATACCCTTCTTCCCTTTCTTCAAAGCTAGCTTGAGTATCATCTACCAGTCGAGGCATGAGCTTCTGCAAGAGATTGGCTAGGAATTTGGCGATAACTTTATAGCTCACCTTGAGAGCCCAATAGGTGTGAATTGAGCCATATTCTTGGGGCTCTCAGTCTTTGGCAGCAAGGTCAGCAAAGTAGCATTACTCAATCTGACTCTGGAAGGGTCTTTGAAGCATGAGACAATGTAAGCTTGGAACTCCGAGCAGATCGTCTCCCAGCATCTTTGGTAAAAGATAGCGTGGAAACCATCCTTTCCGGGTGCTTTTAGACCTTCTATACTCTTGATAATCTGCCTGGTTTCTTCAATGATTTGGATGGCAGCGAGGTTCCTCATCATTTCACTCTCAATGCTCACGAATGAGGCTACAATTGAGTTATGCCCCACTACATCCTCAGCGAAAAGTTTGCAGTAGAAGTCTCTTGCCATTCGTTCAAGGATTTCCGGATCCTCGATCCACCTGCCCTCTTCATTTTGGAGTCTAATAGTGATACTCTTTCTACGTCTCGCCAAGGTAGCCACATGGAAGAAGTGTGTGTTGCAATACCACTTTTTATCCAATTAGCACAAGCCTTTTGCATCCAGAGCACCTCCTCCTGCCAAAGAGTCTTCTCCAATTCCTCTCTCACTTTGTTTTCCTCCTCAATAAGAAGGCTGCTGCCACCTTGATTATTCTGCATCTCTAGGACCTTGAGCAAAGTGGTCATCACTTTTTTCCTTTGCAATATGTTCCCGAAAACTTGCTTATTCCATTTGCAGAGGATGTGCTGCAGGTCCAAGAGCGAGGGAATGAATTCAGAATCCTTCTTCCAAGAGGCGGTGAGCGTTGGCTGGAAGTCATCATGCGTCAACCAGGGTGCTAGGAAGCAGAAAGGACGGTGTGGATTCATAGTAGGGTGCAGGATTTTGTTGCGAACAAGGATAGGTCTGTGGTCAGAGCGTAGACGCGGTAGGTGAATGTTGGATGAGTATGGGAATTGAAACAACCACTCATGATTGCAGAGTGCCCTGTCCAAACGTTGAGATAGATGCCCATTCGTCCACGTGAAGCGAGGCCCAGCGAATCCGAGATCAATGAGGTTGCAGTCCTTTATACAACTGTTAAAATCCTTCACTTTGTAGCTGTTGAATCCAGCACCGCCTTGACGCTCCGATGGGCCAGAGATGGAGTTAAAATCTCCCAGCAACAGCCACGGGTGTACGATGGCGCTATGCAGCCTGCGAATAGCCTCCCATAAGGGAAGGCAATAATGAATGTTAGGTTTAGCATACACCGCAGTCCTAAGCACTACTGTTTTCTCCTGCAAATCGAAACAGTCAAAATGTAAGTACTGCGAATCGGAATCCACCATAGAGATTGATAAATCGAAGCTATTCCAGAGAACCCAGATTCCCCCGGAGAACCCGATAGCATCCACCTTCAAATATTGGTCAAAACCCATAGAGCGAATCACCGCCAATGCATCATCACCACTGATACGTGGCTCGACGATGACAGCAATATTCAGACGACAACATCTATTGTGTTTTGTGTATGGGATTTGATTTTGACTTCAATCACCTCTAGACTTGCTCAACAAAGAGAATAAAATAATATATATATGGTGGCATTTTCGGTGACCCACTTTTTTGAGTATACTGAATCTACTCGTCTCATAATTGTCATTTTGCGCATGCTATTCATGTAAAAACAATATCGATCATCGCTTATGATATTATGAACAAAATACACATGAAATCGGGGGGGGGGGGGGGGTCGTTCAAAATTTACTTTAATTTGAAGGATTTAGGGATTTAAGGTTCGGATTTAGGTTTACAATTTGGGGTTTTGGGTTGGTATTCAAAATTGAAGGTTCAATGGTTAAAATAATGGATTGATGAGTTGTGATTCGATGTTATATCATCATATTAGATCAATTCTATCAATTAAAGTTCAAAATTTGATGTATTCTAGTCACATTTAGAGTTGGGTGCATTGAATGCACCAAAAAATGTGAGTGCACCGAAGAAGCCACCGTCCCAACTCTTTTCTCCTCCTCTTGTACCCCCACCCCTTCCACCGTCCCGCATTCTCGTGCTCTTTCTCTCTCTATGTCCGTTCCTATCTCCCATCTCTTACTGCCTCGTCCATTCCGACAATTGATTCCATTTCAATCGAGCAATATTCAAGTCCAAAAGTTTGGATTCACAACCCCTGTTCTCAGTAGAATTCGATCCAAGCAATTACGATGCACACACTCTTCTTCTTTTGTCCTTCCATTCAAAGAATCATTTGCCATCTCCGACCAGAGTACCTGGCCCAAATCGAGAGGCGTGGTACACCAGCCGCCTATCTCTATTACACGATTGCACAAAGCAAACCACAAGTTTAGAAACGCACGCCATAAGTTCTTTAAAGCACACCACATGACCAATAATGTTCCCCAAAAGTTTAATATTGTATGCCACAAGTAACATAGAGCAAACCACATGTTTATAAAAACACTCCACAAGTCTATTGTCTTGCCCCTTTATTTATTTAGTTTTCCGTTCTTGTTCTAAGTAGGTGTATTTCGTTCTGGGATCTATTCCGACGGAGGAAGAAGATGAAGAAGAGCGAATTTCAATCGAATTGTTGGTGGATAGTTATCTTAACTTGTGTTTGTTAATAACCTACCTTATTGGGTTTATAATACTGCAATATGATCTCGGATCCAATTGCCGCTCTCGTGGGCTTTATGCATGAGGGGTTAATGGGCCAAGCACTTGACCAATTCACATCGATTATAAAACAATAATAATGATGATTTAAAAAACTCCAATCATACTTTAAAAATCTTATTATCATAATAATGATGATTTATAGGTTGGAAAGCTTAATAAATCTGAATTGGTTTTCGTATATTCTGAACTTATTAATTAGGGATCATATTTTATGGAAATTCTAAACGTATTTCATTTTCACTAGGTCTCGAACGGATCATTCGTTGGGAAGGGATAGAAATCATACCACAATCTAATCAAACCACAAGTTACGTAAAAGCATATCCAACAGAAGATTATGTCATGTGATGCGAAAAAGTGTATAAACACTTTATCGATCGAGTTATAAAGATAAGTAAATTATCGTCTCACAAGAATTGGTACAACTCTAGATTTAAAGATCAGAATTAAGGAACTGAAAAGAACAAATGTGTTGGGTGGCAAACAAATTTAAAGAAATAACTAAACTAGAGAGCAAGTATGAAATTAACTTGGAGAAAATCAATGGAGAGAAGCTCTGGGGAAAGACGACCTGGAATTCACTACCTAATTACCTGATTCAATTCGTTTATTAATCAATTTAGTTCTCATTCAAATGACCGAAGTTATCTATGAGGTGATAGCTATCTCTCTAAAGAATCGCTACGTACTAGCTAGCCAATTAATCGTTTACTCTCGCACAACCAATTGATTAACTACCTAGCCTGAAGTCCGATAACTCCTCTGATGATCACACAACTCCCGCTTTCCACCCTTGTGCTCATGACTCACTTCTACTGTCACTCCAGGAATTGGCCAAGTGAAACCACTTCCTAAAGCGTAGTATAGCGGGTTAGGTTTATATGTCAACCCGGGTCCTAGATCTGATGACTACTCAGTGAATTCTTGTTATCTAGCAATGAAACTGGAATACAAGTCTAAACTATCAAACTAACAAAGCAAGTAAACTGTTGTATTCAGGTTAAGAGAGGTCACCCGGATATGGTCCCCCCTGGACTGTAGTTAAGCCGGATTGTAATTACCAAGTTCAGTTTCTATGATAGTTATACTGCGGAAGGTTCTTAAATAGCCAGAAGTCTCGACTAAAGGTCTTCAGACCCTCTCAATCTGAGTCTCTAGCGGGCGACTAACCTCCACCGGAGTAAACAGATTGAGGCCTTAACAAACAAAACCTCCACTACTGGAGTAAATCCGGTACAGAATAGTGAGTTGGCTCCTCGACTAAAGTCACCAACTCCCTACCTTCAATCAAGGATACTCTATCAACCTAGGCAGATATTCTCATTCTAGGTCAAAGGAGAAACAACAGGAATTTGATCAGGATTCAAGTCATTCAATCATTCACACCTCAATCGAATATAATCAAATCATAGAATCAGTACTTGGGTTCATACAATCAATCCTAACATACAAATCTAGGGTTCTCCATACCTAGATGAATGGGAGAACTACTCCATGGAGAAAGAAGCAAAAGCATAATCAGATGCGGAATTCATACTGTGAAGGATGGATTCCTGCTCCTGGATGTTGATCGGCACTTCTCCAAGCTCAAACTGGCCTCCAATGGTGTTGAAGATCAAGCTAGGGCACTTGGAGACTCTTGTTTGTCGCTTTCTCTCTCTAGGAATCGTTCTCTCTCTCAAAAACTCGAATTCCCTGATTTTCAGCCCTCTTTTCCCTTAAAACAGCTGCCTGTCGCGATACCCGGTCGAAATACCCGGTCGGGTATTTTGGTCTCGACCGGGTATTATCAAAACGCACGTTTCATGCCAGGGGAAAATCCCCGGTCTGCTCCAATAATCCCCGACCGGGGATTTTAGCCTCACGACCGGGCACCCCTCTGTTTCTCACGGGTGCCCAAAATGATAAATACCCGGTCGGGTATTTTGCCACCTGACCGGGTATTTTCCTCCTGCAGCCCACTTCTTCCCAACTTTGCTCCTTTCGACCCAGAACTCGTTCCCTCGCCTCGATTCCAACGCCGGGTCCTGAAATATGACATAAACACACAACCTCGCGTGAAATCGGCTTAAACACGAGAGTCAACCTCTCAAACGGCTCAAGAATAGGGGTAAAAACATGTGTAATTATTGGAGAAGAGGGAAGGAAAAGGGAACGATGTTACTGGTATGCACGGACTGCAGGAGACTGGAAGCGGACCAGTCGTAGTGAAGCGGACTGGATAGAGAACCAGTCAAGACAAGCACAGCTAGAGGAAACCGAAGATCTCAACACAATAGGTTAGGTCCAATGTCAGCCCAATAAGACATCATCCAAAACAAAAGAAAACAAACCAAAACCAAACTGGTTTACAATCCGACTCAAAACACAAGAAAGAAAATCAAACCGTGGTGGGGTTGCCTCCCCACAAGCGCTTCTTTACCGTCTTTTAGCTGGACGCCCATGGTGGATACTCAAGGCGGTGCAGGAACAGGTGCCTCCAAGAGCGCATCCACGTCGCTCTTGAGGTACAGCTTCAGGTTGTGTCCATGCACCCGACGGATGCGACCACCATCATCGGTCAGCTCGACCTCGCCATCTGGCAAGATGCAGGCGAGTGAGTACCCAGACGGCCAGGGTGGTCGTGGTGCCAGAGGTGGGACCAGCTCATAGTGGTCTCCACTCTTCTTCCGTGCAGGCTTAGCAACCCGCTGCTTCGGCCGCCACTCCTCCTTGAGCTTTTTGTTCGGAGGTGAGGCTGGATGGAGTGGCGGCGAAGGAATAATAGGAGGGTCCTGCAAAATAAGAGGTGCAGAAGGGTACACAACAGGCTCGTGTACCTGATCAGACATAGCATGCACAGGGGTGACAGCAATCATAGCACAGTGATCAAATACAGTCACATAAAAAGTAGCCTGTTCATTCCCAGCACGCAGGATCAGTTTACCATCATGCACATCAATAAGTGCCTTGGCGGTGGCAAGAAATGGTCTACCTAGAATCAAAGGCACATCCACATCCTCATGTATATCAAGAATAACAAAATCAACAGGATATGTGAATGCACCAACATTAACTAGCAGATCCTCTATGATTCCCCTAGGATGCACGACAGAACGATCAGCTAACTGGATGCTCATCCTAGTAGGGCTAAGTTCACCTAGGTCTAGCTTTTTGTACAACTTGTAAGGCATGACATTTATGCTAGCGCCTAGGTCCGCCAAGGACTTGCCTACATGCATGCTGCCAATAGTAAGAGGGATAGTAAAACTCCCTGGATCCTTGCGCTTTTCGGGCAGCTTGTTCTGCAGGATAGCAGAACACTCCTCGCTCAGCAACACTGTCGAGAGATCCCCAAGTTTCTTCTTGTTGGTGAGGAGACCTTTCATGAACTTGGCATACTTGGGCATCTTCGACAGTGCCTCCACGAACGGTATGCTGATGTTGAGCTGCTTCAACATTGCCATAAACTTGGCAAACTCAGTCTCCAGCTTGTCTTTGTGTAGGAAAGTGGGGAAGGGAAGCTGGGGTACATGCTCCTTAACCACTGGTTGTGGCTTGGGAGCAGGGGCCTCCTTCTCCACCCGCACTTCTACATTGTCGGCTGGAAGTGCTGAAGCAGGTAGTGGTTCCTCCTGTCTGGCCGGGACAAGATCAGCAGATATGGTCTTACCGCTCCTGGTAAAAATGGCATCCATCTGCTGGTGCTAGGCAGATATTCTTATTCTAGGTCAAAGCAGAAACAACAGGAATTTGATCAGGATTCAAGTCATTCAATCATTCAACCTCAATCGAATATAATCAAATCATAGAATCAGTACTTGGGTTTATACAATCAAAGCCTAACATACAAATCTAGGGTTCTCCATACCCAGATGAATGGGAGAACTACTCCATGGAGAAAGAAGCAAAAGCAGAATCAGACGCGGAATTCATACTGTGAAGGATGTCCTGCTTCTGGACGTTGATCGGCACTTCTCCAAGCTCAAACTGGCCTCCAATGGTGTTGAAGATCAAGCTAGGGCACTTGGAGACTCTTTTTCGTCGCTTTCTCTCTCTCAAAAACTCGAATCCCCTGATTTTCAGCCCTCTTTTCCCTTAAAACAGTTGCCTGTCGCGATACCCGGTCGAAATACCCGGTCGGGTATTTTGGGTCTCGACCGGGTATTATCAAAACGCACGTTTCATGCCAGGGGAAAATCCCCGGTCTGCTCCAATAATCCCCGACCGGGGATTTTAGCCTCACGACCGGGCCCCCCTCTGTTTCTCACGGGTGCCCAAAATGATAAATACCCAGTCGGGTATTTTGCCACCTGACCGGGTATTTTCCTCCTGCAGCCCACTTCTTCCCAACTTTGCTCCTTTCGACCCAGAACTCGTTCCCTCGCCTCGATTCCAACGCCGGGTCCTGAAATATGACATAAACACACAACCTCGCGTGAAATCGGCTTAAACACGAGAGTCTACCTCTCAAACGGCTCAAGAATAGGGGTAAAAACATGTGTAATTATTGGTCTATCAGCTCAATTGGGTGTTATGACGTATGTAAGAATGTTCTATCATAGGTATCTCCTATCGGTCTCAACCTAGAACAACAAATCAATATGTAGGTGGCCAGTCTACACAAAGTATTAAGGATCCACACACAATATGAATGAGAAAGACAAATAATTCGAATTAAATCATAGAAATCCGATAGTTACATCCTACGGTCTTCCCCCAGTATTCAGGGTTTAGTTCATCATCATGGAAAACAAACTAACATATAATTCTAGGTTCAACATCTTGGAATTCAAGAAGCAGGAAAAAGAATTAAGAATAAAATAATTCATTTCTCTAACCCTGATCCCCGGATGATTGCTTGAAATTATGGCCCAAAATAACAATCGACGAACAAAGGATTTATCGCCTGTTATTTTGCTCCGCTCGACTGCTGCTTGCTTCCCCCTCATAATTTTTCCGTCCCCAAAATAAATTCCCTTCTTCCTTTTTATTTCCTCCCTACCATTAAACCCCCCCTCCTCCTTTTCATTCCGTGGCGAATACAAAATGTTGGGCCAGGCCCAATTATACTCCTCCTAATTAATTAAAACAATCCCCCAGCTGCTTGTAATTTATGGGCTACTGTATCTGCTGTAATAGTTAGGGAAGTCGGCCCGATTTGTTGGAGTTGGATTAAAATCAGTGCTTGTCCATGCTTCTGTGAATTCCTGCTTTGCCTCTGCAATTCAATTCTGCCTCTGCACTCATTTTTTGGTAAAATGGCACTAAAAATGGCAAAAACACACCACGCACTTGGTAATGCCACAAAGTCATTCCATGGTTAATTCGACACAATTTCACGCCATTTTCATCATAAAACATTAAATCATCAAATGACAATCAAATGCATGTATATGTATGACACTTATCACAACCCCACACTTAATGCTTGCTTGTCCCTTAGCAACGACTCACAAAATCAAACAAAGAAACGAGACATAACATACTACACAAGACAAACTATCACACATACGACTCACATCAAACGTGACACAAACACAATTGAGATAGACAAATCATTCTCGCACTATTGTGGTAATCAATATTTTCTTTCTAAATTGAAGAACCATGCGCTCATGCTACCAAATATTTTACCCCACACTTAAGATTTTTGCAACCCTTTACTGTTTACTGACTAATTAACTCCATGTCGTTCAGCGTACATCAATTAGCAACACTGAATTTTGATCGTCGATAGAGATTAACTAACAACGTACGGTGCAACAGTAAAAGGAAAATATAACCACATTTGTGAGGTGCATATCTCATGAGGACAATGTGGCCTACTCACATCAATTATATAAGCAATCAACCAAGCACGAGAGTCTCAAAAACTTATGAGGGAAGCTTTTCGCAAACTTTATTTGTACTTTAAGTACATCACTACCTTTTTGACAATGAGAGTCTTCCTCTCTTTATGATTTTGCTTGCCGAGTAGTCGTATTTAGTACAAGTGGGTTTTGTTTCTTACTATCGGAGATCGAGCAAGAGCAATTTCTACGATCCTAGCTTACACATAGGGGCTTCTTTTAACTTTTTTTCCTCGATCCATGTGGAAGGTCAATGGCACTTCACTCCGGGGGTATTACTTGATAAGAAACATCGTACGGTCGCGAACCGATGCTCAGTTGAATCTTTCTATTCCCCTTGTGCAATGAGTGATTGCCCACAAGATATTTTTTTTTCATTTATACACACACTTTAATTGTTATGGCAACTTTCTTATATTTTGATTTTCAGGTAGGATTTTTCATTTTTAAAGATACAGTTCACCTCATATAAAACTTTTAAAACCGTGAGACTCAACGGCAACGTCAACAGCTCACTAAAGATACAAGTAAACACGATATCCAAACATATCGATTGGTTAATACTCTCCATCTAATCATTGCACCCATGTTACACTATCCTCCCGAAATTGAATGCTACTAATTGAGTTTGGTTATTCAAAGCATGTTAACCAGTCAAAGTAGGGGTCTGTTTAAGTGGGGTAACTCCAACGATCACTAAGTGCAAGGTTCTTTAAAACGACAACACATCAATTTACATCACTTTACCACAAGAGCACAAGATTTTTTGTTTTTTTTTGTTTTTGAAGACACAATAACAACGATCAACTAAACATAACATCATATATCAACACAATGACACAATCACTACTACGACACACCACCCCACACTTAGGGTGGAACATTGTCCCTAATGTTCAACTCCTAGGCTAAACATGCATCAGGACAGACTCATACAAGCTAAGACACAAAAGAGACAACAATAAAAGAAAAGAACAACACACCTGGGGACAAGACTAAAAAGTGGATGGTGGTGGGGCACTTTCCCCGGTATCCTCAAACCGCTGGAATGAGCCAATGTTACAAGTATAGCCCGTACGCCTAAAGAACTCCTCCAATCGACGTTGAGTGTGCTCAATGGCTTGCCATGGATCTGAGGGATTTATGTAAGTGACTGGTGACGAAGTAGATGGTGGATAAGTAGTGGTGGAACTGGTGGAGTGGTAGCCTCAGATGGAACTGCAGTGGAAGTAGTCTCTGGTGTCTCATCCATCATGTCCTTTTGAACCGGCTGGTATGGTTCCCTAAGTACACGCTTGTGAATGAGGTTCATTCGGCGAAAAGTTTCTTCCTGTGATGTAAGCTCATCTCTAGCTACTTCAATGCCAGTGGGGTTCTTGGGAAAATCACAATAAGTCTAAGCAAGAGCAGTAATCACTCCTCCTACTCAAATCTTCCCCGCATCTTTTTGCGCACACTTCTGAAGACACTTGCCCAACCAATACCCCAAACTGAATGAATGACCAGTAACATAGCTGTGGAATAATCGAAGGCCACCCTTGTGCACCCCTGGCTTATCATTCACCCTGCCAAAGATAGCTTATAACATGAACTCATGGATGTATATCAAAGTAACATCATTCGAGATGTCTGAGAAGTAAACTTCGATTTCGTGGAAATACTCTTCCAAAATTCATGTTCGTTCAGATCACTGTGAGCTGGACCACAAGTCATGCCATCAAAATTCAAGGCATTGTGAACTTGAACTATACTAAGATCATATTTCTGTCCATTCAATTCAAAATTGAGTCTGCTGAAACTACCCTTGTCCTCAAACTCAAAATTGGCCAAGAATGCTCTAACTAGGATGGGAGAAGACTTGAAGCGCAATTCTGTAAACTTGCTCCACCTTAGCTTCTGCAAATAATAAAACACTCTCTGCTTGGCTGCATCATCTCTTATCACCTTATCATTAAAGAATTAGACGAGAACACCGGGTGCTTGGAAAGAGCAGCAAACCTTTGCTTAGCTGAGGCTGGAATTTGTTGTTTTCCAAAGGTCGAAGAGACATCATTCTCCGATGGAAGTGTTAGCTGAGTGACCACTTGTTTGGCCTTGCTTGTGCGCGCTCTCTTGGAACTGCCCTTCAGATCAGCTCCCTGCCATTTCGTTCCACCTTTTCCAGCCTTAATTCAGTAGGAAGTTAAAAAGACTTGGCGGTAAGACAGCAAAACCACCCAAATTAAAGACGACCGGTTGACCGGTCAGTTCCTGCTTGATCGTGGAGCTGGTGAGTGGGCAAGAGACTGAGCGAAGCAGAAATCTCAGCGCAAGAATGGACAATTCGTAGGCCCGCGATGAAGAAAGATGACAAGATCATAGCAGACCCGGCGGCCTGTGGTGGAGAGAGAGAGTGACGCTGGCCGGGCGAGGTCGGTGGGAGCAAAGAACACCGGCGGTGCTGGGTTTGACGATGGCGGATGAGATTGATGATGTCGATCTCAAGAGATGTGAAGGCGATGTCGACGAGAAGGAGACGGAATCGCCCGCAACTCCGCCAGCCAGTGATGGACGTCGCCGTCGAGTGGTGCTGCGGTGTTGATGTCGATGACGACGAGGTGAACGCAGCTGGAGAGTAGTTCGCTGGGACGACGTCTCTGTTAGGGATTTCTTTTTCGATGGGGAGAGAATCCCCGAAACCTATTTCTCGTTTTTTTAGGAAAAAGATCTAAGCAAGTCTCTGTCTTTTTCCCTTGTCGCCTGATCAATCCCTAATCTTTTAAACTCGCCCAATTCCGCCTGTTCTCTCTCCATAGTCCATACCTCTTTGCCTCTGCATTTTTTCCCTTGACTCTGCATTTAGGTCCTACCTCTACAGTGCCAAAACACGAAAAACCACCTTTCTCGACGGAATTTGGGTTCAAATAACACGGAAAAACATCCAAGATTCCTAATAAAGAAAAAT